CATATATATGCGCTTCTCAGAGAGTTAAGCTAGGGGAGAGCGAAAATCAGAACCGCTCTACACGCTTCTCAACGATTTTAGACAGAGAGACAGCGAGATAGAGTAAATCAGAGAGACAAAGGGAGCGAGAAGTAGAATAAATCAGAGCCCCTCTACGCAATTCTCAAAGAGTTTTGTTAGAGTGACAGCGAGAGAGAGTGAATCAGAGAGAGGAAGAGTAAATCAGAGCCCCTCTACACGCTTCTCAAAGAGTGTAAATACAGAACGAGCAAATCAAAGCCTTTCTATGCGCTTCTCAAAGACCATACCTAAGTAGAGTATGGAATAAGTTTTATTTAGTGAGTTACAAAATTGTTCATGAGAACATGTACATATTCAAAAACCTTCGTAACATGTCGAATATATATATATACAAGCATAGACTTGGATCAAAATCACTGGCATACTTTCGGGAGGGCATCACCAGGTCTGACCCTCTCTATACTTTTTCGATTTCCCCCCCCATGTATTTTTCCTGGCCTGTGCTCGTGTGTATATGTGTGTGTTTATAATTCATTAGTTTGCTAAATGTATTTCCTAGCTTAATTGGGTAGTAAAGCACACGGACTAAGCTCATAAAGCAGCCAGCAAGGCAAACAGCAGCCAGGAGTAGAAGCCGGAGCAGCAGCAGCAATTCTCCTCCAGCCTCCCTCCGGAGTCCTTGACGATGTCTGATTAAGGCACTGGCATAAAGAAGAAAAGCAGCTGGAAGCGGGAGGAAACAGAGAAGACTGGGAAATGGGTAGGATGATGATGGTCTTCTATTCACTGGGTAACATTTGCTTTCATTTTGGTTATGCAGTTGCCGCAAAATTTTCTAGCCGAGATGGGTCAGGGAATAGGATGCCCAGGGATTTGTTTGGCTTCATAAGCAGCTCATCCACATCGATGCTTGAGTGCGTCCAGCATGGCGTATACGCGATATTAGAAATTCCTTAGCCATAATTATGATTGCCGGTTATTGCAGTTTATTTCTTATTGCCTCTTTCACCATTTTAACCATTAAATTGTTACTTTATTCCTTCATTCCACTCAATTATTCTCAGAGATTTTTTACTCACATTAATCTCTTATCTCTTTCAAGCAGTTTTAGCTTCATTTGAATTTGCTTGTTTTGCTTAAAGTATGCAGTTTCTTTACTTTAAGTTTAGAGCAGTGTTTCTTCTTAAAAGTATACTGCTTTTTGTGGGGTCTTAGGTAAGATTTCTTCACATACTTTTAGATATATTGGTAAGGTTATATATATTTAAATCAATTTCTTATCAATTTCGTATTATGACATCTTTCTTGGTTCAGGAAATCCATAAAAAGTTTGCATTTTCAAACTCTGAGCTTGATTAGCTAAATATTTTTAAAATGATTAATTAAGTCTGGGTAAAATTTATAAATTTATTTATGTTTTCCATTATTTCCTGTAAGTTGATCTTTCCCCTTATCCTTTCTAGTTTCTCTATCCCTTTCTAATACATAAATATTAAAATATTTTTTAAATATTTTTTACTATATTTAAAATCCTCTTTTAGTTGCGAATGCTTTTTCTTATTCATTTCATATTATATTATATTCTGGTTTCAGTTATTTCTTTTATAGTCTGCCTTTTCAACCCCATTTATCATAATAACATTTTTATTTCTAATTAAGATCTTTGCTATTTTAACTCTTAACATATTCAAATTAAAGCCCTGAACTTTGCCTTGTATATGAGTAATTTAGCTTGGGATTGTTCGAAAAGAATAAAAATCTGATGACTTTGTGAGGTATTTTCCGGCAGAATTTCCATTGTTCTAAAATATTGCACTTCGCCTTCATTTATTTCATTCATACTCCACAGCGATAATACCTTATCAGTTTGTTACGTCGCCAATACCGCGAACTTTGCCCACTGTGCTTGGTGGTTTTCAAGTTCGGTGGTTCAGTGGTTCGGTGGTTCGGTGGTTCGGTGGTGCGATGATGGATTTAACGTTATGCAAACCGGTTTCATGTACACTCGGAATGTAAGTCAAAGTTGAATTGCTCAAGCACCGAGCATAGCATTGAGCAATTAAAATTAGTCCAAGCTCAAATTGTAGAGAGAGAATCTTTATGCGTGCGTGGGTTTTTCTCGGATTTCCCGCTAAATGGGATTATGAGGAGAGAGAGAGAGAGAACTACAAACAAATGAAGAGTCACCTGAAACCGACACAAAACAATTGAATATTCCGCTGACACTGCAAATCGATCGGTAAAACTTAGTTCCCGATCTCTCTCAGATACCCATACCCATTGCCTTTGTTCTTTATTTATTTTTATTTTTATTTATTATTTTTTTGTTCTTAATTTTTTTATTTTTGCTGTTGCTGTGTGCGGTGGCGGTGACAGATTGTCGAGTCAACGCAATCGCACAACGTTTAAGCTCTAGTGTTACCCGTCAGTGGCCGATATAAACAAATACCTGTTCTCCGACTTACTAATTGCATACGGATTAAAGGAGGCATAATTTCTAGGTATACTCTGCCTTTAATTGCAGTAATAATAAGCTTAGAGATATGCAAATGAATTCTGTAAACGTAGGATTTATTAAACAATGTAAATATACGTTATAAAGGTGATTTAGAGATTGGGAAATCAAAGAGATATTATATAACTATATAAAAAGAGGCTACTGAAACAGTTAAAGAATGTACTATACCAATTTTGGCATACATTTTTATAGTATTTATGGGAAATAGGCAAGAAAAATCCCTAAGGGTTCTAGTAAAAGCATTTTCCTGAGCAGACAGTTACTTGATTCTGAAGAAAAGTTTATCTATAATCAAAGATTACCTAACAAAAATATATTATATATTAAATAGTAGTCAAAATAACAAAAATACTATTAACTTTAAGGCATACATTCCTTAGTAATTTCGAAAGTTAAACTCTCACAATAAAATTCGAGCAAAATAATACCTCAGAAAGTGATATAACCCAGCTATTTCTTTGAATTTTTTCTCCAAAAAGTCGGGTTATGGACTTTTAGTCCAAATAATGACTAAAACAAGGTGGGGCTTTCTTTTAAAATCCCGGGTAAACAGTATATACCTCTCACAATATTCCCATCGATGTCAGGTAAACACAGACAAAGAACAGAACATAAAACCGACGGCAATTGCGATAGCGACTGACTGCCTACATAAATATTGCTTATAACCAGCGATAAGATATCCGAGGACACTGGCTACACACACTAAAAGTGTCGAAACCAATATACATTATATATGTATATACCGAGATTTTTTAGCAAATTTACAATTTGTCTCGGATTCTTAAAACCGATATTCAATGATGTATGAATCACGGCATTATCATCATCGTCACTGCTGGCAGAGTTATCAGTTTCTTGTAACTGCCGGAAAAACTTTGCCCCCTTACCAATATATACTCATGGCAGGTCGGAAATGGAACTCATACACTCAGAAAGACGTCGCGTGGCCGAAGTGTGAATGATGTCACTGTCGGCTGATTGAACAAAAGCCCGAACTAAGATTGCACAGTGTAATAAGGGGGCAAAAAAATAAGTGGAATTAAAAATATATATATTTAAAATTTTAAAATGTAAATAACATGTTAAAATTATGCCAAGTTTACCAACTTTTTTATTTGTATTAATTACCATTTTTATGGGGAAAAATATCTGATAAGTCTTTTGTCCTTGATATATCAGAAAAATACCTAAAATATGTGCATTACAGGCCCTTAATTCGATACTTTTTTATATGATAATTTTTTGGACAAATCCGAGTTTTTAAAATATCATAACTAAGCCAAAAATGATTTAATTTCAATTTGGAAAGCTGTTCTTTGCTAGTTTTTTGTTGATAAACAAATCTGCTTACTCAAAATAATATTTTTTTAAATTAAAATTTTCGTCTATTTTCTATTGACAATTTTAAAGATGAACACCTCAAAAAAAATTTTTTAATTTTGAAAAAATTAAATTTTTGTCGTACATAGCTAGATCGATTCGGCTGTTGATGCTGATCAAGAATATATATGATTTATAGGGTCGGAAATGACTCCTTCCCATCGTTACAAGAGTCTGACTAAAATTAATATACTATTTTTGGGCCGATATTCAACTATATTTTTATATGTAAATTTTTTCTATAAATCTAAACTTTAAAAACTCTTAACTAAGCCAAAAATGCTTTAATTTTAATTCGAAAAGCTGTCCCATGTTAGTTTTTATTAGGTTAATAAATTTACAATTTAACATTTTAGAGAGTTCAAAATTTTAACATTTTTTTTGTCAATTTTAACGATGTTAGCCCCTAAAAAATTGTAAAAATTTGTAACATTATTTTTTTCTGCAGAAGATGGCTAGATCGACTCGGCTTTTCATGCTGATCAAGAATATATATACTTTATGGGGTCGAAAATGACTCCTTTAAAATTTATAAGTCAAAAAATATAGAAATTATTAACAAATATATTTTTTCTGAAAAAAAAAATGTATTATATGCATAATTTTATTTCCCGAAATTGTGGAAACTCATTTATACATTATTATTCATTATTTTTACTTGTAAAAATTCTGCCATAACAAAGCTTTAATATGAATCAAACTTTGTTTTTAAGCTAAACACCTCCTTTTTTTTCGCTTGAACAATATTACTCAGTAAAAAACCGAATCAAAACTATGATGCAATTGCATGCAAATGTATACTTAATACGCTGGACATATGTATATATAGATTGATTAATCAGCTTTAAAAAAGTGAAAGAACATAAGCCCAAGCGCACACGATAAGATAGCCGATATCGATAAAGATAACCTACCCCCTAAAAATAAAAAAAAATTAATAAATGTATGAGGTGGCACCGATAGAGGGAAACGATTCAAGCAATATTTTAACACCTTTGTCCCACTGTTCCGGGTAGCGTCTCATCGCTCGGGAAGCCTAAACGCCGGAGCAGCGGATTCATTCACTCGCGGCCATCACTCAAACACAGTTGGATCCAACGGACGAACCACCGAACAGCGATCGTTCTCTCTCTCCCAGCTCTCTCTGCCAGCACTCTCTCTCCCAGCTCTCTCTCTCCCTGCTCTTTCTCTGTAATCCTCGGCAGACATCATGAATAAATACGCCATGATGGCCCTTTGCCTAATGGCCGCCATGGGAGCCATGCTCCTGGAGGCACAGGCCACGCCGGCAGGAACTGCATCCGGTGGAGCCACCAAGCTAGATCCCAGCCAGCTGGGAGGACTTTCAGCTCAATTCCTGCCACCGGAATATCGCAACACCAATGTCAGTGTGGGTAAGTGATATAACAATTGGAAAAAGATTATAACATATACTATATAAACTATAGAAAGAATAGCTAACTCTCTGAAAAGATTAATAACTTTAACTTATAGAAAATTTTACTAAAAACCAGAACTAGAAACTAAAAATGATTCTCTAAGGTTCTTAAACCAAACCATTTTGTAATTTATAATATTCATTTCCCTTTTTCCAGATGATATAGAAAAAAATAGTTAACTCTCGCAGAGATTAATAACTCTAGCTTATAGAAAATTATACTAAAAAGCAGAATTAGAAACTCTCTAAGGTTCTTTAACTGAAACCAACTTGTATTTAATAACATTCATCTCCCTTTTTCCAGAGGACATCAAGCGCATGTATCGCGAAAAATGCAAAAAGGTGAGTGGCAAGGATAATGCCACCTTTTATGAGGATATCGAGAAAGCGGCAGCCAAAATGAGTGCCTGCATCAGTGGTGTGGCAAATCTCACTGCCCTGCAGGAGGAAATGGAACAGGCCAAACCACAAGGTGAATTGGACACTGTTTTCCACAAATATTGCCAAAAGGCACCCGAGGCAGAGGCCTGTGTCAAGGAGTTCAATGAGAAGGCTCAGCACTGTCTCACCGCCGAGGAGAAACGGCATCAGGAGACAGTTTCTCGCATTGGAGCCGCCTTACTGGGCTTTGCCTGCTCCCGTGGCGGTGATCAGATTGCACTCTTTGTGGCCGAACAGGGACCCGAGTGTCTAGATGCCAATAAGGAGGCCATTAGCAATTGCCTCAATCAATCCTTCCATCAGTATATACCCAAGGATGGCAAAGTGCCGGATTTGATGAGCAGCCCCGAGCTATTGTTCTCGCCCACACATTGTGTTGACCTGCAGCGTTTCGAGGCCTGTGTCCTGCATCATCTGGAGCAATGTTCGGAGATCACTCCGGCCAATATTGTTCAGTCAATCTTTCGATTTGTTAAGAATGAGACTGATTGTCAGGCCTGGATGAATGCCCGTGCCAATGAGAAACCCATTTTGATGGCTGCCGCTGGCAATAGTACTGGAGGAGGAGCCGCAGGACTTACCTGGAGCATTGCGGCGCCTTTGTTGGGTGCCATGTTGCTCCTGGTACGTCCTTGAATTCGCTAACCCTGGACTCTGTGTGTGTATGAGTGTGTTCATGCCGATAGCGATTCTTTTGATAAGAAGCGACTGTATATTACCTATTACCTAGGTTCTTTTTGTTTTTTTTTTGTTTGTTTAAGAAATAGTGGTCACTGGTCGCAAGTATCGGTGCCATATAATTTAATGTCTCGCAAGGAATTGAGCTTATAATAAACGAGATTACGAGGAACGCAGCAAAACACCAGCTACAAACTGAGGAATGTCCAATTGGGTTGGGGGATATATACATGTGATATATGATATCATCAGATATTGAAGTTTTTTTCTGAAGAAACTGAAATGAATATTCTTGTGGAATTCGACCTTTACAGTGGCGGAAATTTATTTATGGCCCAGTTTTAGAATTTTATCATTGCTTTTTGTTGTAGTATGGAATATTACCATTTCGATTTCCTTATCTGAGAAACATTTTTAATCGCTGTTTGGAAGCCATTTCATAATTTTTATCGTTGCCAAGGAGGAGCAGCTTTTATCAAGCGGTTTGATAAGGTTAATTAGTTTTAATGACTAAAAAACACTTGCACCTTTTATAAAATAGTAACTTAATAGTTACAATTTTCTAAAGTTCTCTTTATGAAAATGATAACTTAGTTATAAAAGTTTTAAGATATATCTGGGAGATACTTTAAATAAATCTTGAAAGTAAAGTATTGTGTAGAATATTCATAGAGTCTAAATGACATATGATCAATATGTAACTGATTAAGTTTTGAAGTCAATTTTGGTTAAAATATATTGAAGAGTTTACCTTAATGAAATCAAAACAGCTGTTAAGAACCTATATAAACTATGAGTGAGTATGGCTTTAATTATCAAGTAATTAAAGCCCACTCAGGCATTAGTAAAGTTGGTAGAGTAAGATTAAGAGTTAGTTACTTTAGAATAACTCTTGAATAAATCTAAGTAAATTCTTTAAACATATTCCCAGTCTATATTAAATCATAATTTATTCTATCAGTACTTCTTTTAAACCTCAAACCATCAATGATTTGGCTTTGCCCCCCAAAAACCATCATCAACAACCTAAAAACGCTACCCAAGCTCGAGTATACTTTCAGGCTTTCATTATACACAAACTCACTTCTTTTGTTTATCAGATCCAAGTATAATACCATGTAGAAACCTCCCAAAAAAATATATATATAAACACTAAATTAGCCTCTCTATGATATCAACTAAGATAAGCTGTAGCCGTAATACCAGCAGCATGAATAATAGCTCATGATAAGCTGGATTAATATGTGGTTTTAGCTGGCCAAAAAAAATTAATGGACACTTCTGCCTTGAAAGGGAAATAAACACCATATCATATTATATTATAACACCTACTCTGGGTAAATGCAGAGTTATTTTGGCTGTGGATTTCCCGATTACTTATTAGTACTTGTTTATGTCAAAAATAACTCACATTTGGTATTCGATAAGGTTCGATCGAGTGAGAAAGAGAGAGGAAGAAGCCTTATCAATCCAGAAAAGCATATCGCGGCTATTCTTCCATAGAAATATATGGTTAATTGAAATTATAAATCAATAAACAAATATTGTTGACTTCATGGTCGCCTTCCAACTGATGTGAGATACATATCAGAGATAGTTCAAGCTTCAAAATAATTATTTCTTTAAGTTTTTAATAGAAAATATATCAGACCAAGGAAAGATTAAATATACATTTATAAAAACTAATGATTAGAGGTGACTAATAATAAATGAGATAATAATTCAGGAAGACTTTAAACCAGCAAAAAGAAAGTGAAGATTGATTTTAATAGTAGAAAATGATAAGTTTAGACCATTTTAAACTGATGTCTTGATGTCCTTGGAAAACAATAAAAAATATTATCAAAATTTGGACACAATTGCCATGTTTATACGTTTCCGGATGGCAATCAATAAGAATTTTCACAGTTTTTTATAGTTTTATGGGTTATTCCCTGAATCAAATTTCCGCCTTTAAGAAATCACTCTCGGAGCACCTGTTTCTGACTCTCTTAATGAATTGTGTTCGAAGCTAATGAGCACTGGCATGCATATATACACACATTGTGACGCAGATGCTCAGCTTTGATAAGATTATAAACATTTTGTAGTGTCTAATTGGAGTACTACCGTTAAGAATCAAAGTCCTCCCCCCCATGAACAATCAATCATTGAAGGAAACTCCAAGTTGCAAGCGAAATTCCACTGAATGATGGATGGATTTGTCAAGGAGCTTCATCAGCTCTTGATTCAGATAATGTCCTTTTAATTATGAATTTTTTTTTTTCACATATCAAGTAGAGTATATATTTGTAGGTTATTTCATATAAGATAACAAAAGGCATTTAATAAATAATACAAAAAAAAAATGATTATAAATATATATCAGTTATATAATCGAAAGCATCGATTAGAAGAAGCCTGTTACTGGAGTGGTTTCTGTTGTTTTATAATAACAATGTGTGCAAACACAGGGTTGTTGTGCTTGAATTAGTGTGACCAAGGCTTCAAAGGAAGCAGATTTGTAATAATAAAATATTCAGAAGAGAAAACACCACCCAGGAATCACAGAATACCAAGTTTCTAAGTAAAAATCTATAACTTAGACTGTAAAGCAAACACTATATCCAATATCTCAAATTAATGTAACCAATTCTATAAATAAAGCAGAGTTCTATAAATCAGACGGACCAAGAAACAACCAAGTAGCAGGCTTTTAAGGAACTAAACCAGTCATTAACTCTAATTAAAAAACACCTAATTTCCGACCTGAGGTTTTGTCCCCGTTACCGGTTGTGGTGGTACCAACAGGACCTGTGCCAGCGACGGCTGTTCCATTTCGGTCTCACCATCTTGGTCAAGTGCCTCATCCAGATGCTGTTGATCCTCTGCATCACTGACCTGGGACAGCACCTCGTCCAAATGCAGCCACACATGCTCCACAGCTGAACGTAGTTCGCTGGCATATTTCCAAATACTGCGATCCTCAACCAGATCACTTAGCTCATATTTATTATCCGGTTCCCGATAGTGTTGCATCTGAGCCAGTGAAGTGTCCACAGTGCGGGGATTACAGCCTCCTGGCAGCCATTTGAGTGTAAAGTGATTGTGCAGGGTCAACGAGAGTTTTGCATTGTGAAAACACTTGGTGGCTCGTCCTGGGAGCGAGTAGTTCCCCAATCTCATAGTATGTTGCAAAACATATAACTCTCCAGCGGTGGCTTGTTCCTCATGGTCACTCAACTCGGATGGGACCTTGGTGAAATAAGAGTTGATGAAGCAAATGGCCGGAAAACGGCCAGAGCACTTGCCACCCTTTTTCTCCTCCTCTTGATAGACTTTGTGGACCAACTGTTGCCAGTTCCGGCTATCCCCCTTGGGCATGATCACCTCATCGATATCCACATTGACCAGAAAGTCATGTCTGTAGAGATTCCGGTAGAAGCAATCATTGTAGGGTATCAATTCGTTTAGGCGCTTCTCCAGCTTCCTTTTTTGAAGCAACAAGTGTTGGTAGTGCCTCAACCGCGGCATACCGTTGGCCAGGGTCAGAGGTCGTAGCTCTAGGTAACCAGTACGTTGATAGTAATCCAACACACGTTGCACTGCCGGATGCACATCATACATGTAGGCATAGATCTTTGAGGCACCCAGGAGACGTTGCAGTTCAAACCATTCAATGAGACGCTCCGAGAGGTCAAAATAAGGGAAATCAAAACCCTTGACACAGACACCAAAATTAAGGTTGCCGGAGGAAGAGGAAAGGGAGCTGCTATTACTGCTGCTCCTGGTGCTGCTGGTACCATTAACTTTTGTTGTTGTGGGAACCTCCTGGTTAATCCTCAGGGAATTACTGGCCTTATCACAGCGCTGTATAACCAAAGACACTGTCTTGGGCTGGGAATGCAGCACGGCTGGAGGCAATTCCCTGGGCACTGGACAGCTCAACAAATGCGGATAGTTAAGATGGGGTTGATCGCCCCATTCCTTAACCCACACACTGAGATATTCCGAAACGGGCACAACTATAGGTTCTCGGTGATTCTCATACCACAATTGACACTTGCTGGGTGGAAATTCATTGGCTATTTGATCGGCAGTGACCAGAATCCTTACAGTCTTCTGCTTAGCAGCCTGTCTTTGATCCAAGTAAGCGGCATATAGACGAAAGGTGACATTTCCATTGAGAAATGTCTGCCAATAGATGTTGTGCATCTGCAGATCCAAGGGATCTGGATATTTGGCACAGGTGGCATTTACTTTATAGCCCATAGGCTTGGCCCAGCGATACCAGAAGCCATAGTCCAATTCCGGGAGCTCTTGTTCCAGCTGCCTCACCAACTCGTCCTTGATGGGTTCCGTAAGATGATGAACTGGTGGAGGTGTTGCTGCTGTCTCTGTTATCCTTGCTCCCCCTAGAGGCGCTGGAGGACGCAGTTCATCCGTTCGCTGCAGAGCACTGAGTAGGAGGAGGAGGGAAAAGAATGCCCCCGTCACCAGCACCGCCAATCGAACGAAGCCAGCTCTCGTTGACATTATACTTGGTCGCTTACTAAACACTGAGTGATATCTAAGTACTCAGTACTGAACACATAGCAGTTAGAAGTTAGCACCTGGGAATGGTGCGTCGGCAATCTAATCATTCTCACCATGTGCGTGGCTGCGATAACCACAAACGCCTACATGCTGAATTATCTATGACGGCTCTGGCTCTGACTCTGGTTTCTACTTCGAGTATGGATCTGACTATGATTATGGCCTTTTATCAATTAGCCTAAATTAGTAGGGCCTAAAATCGATTGGATTGGACGGAAATGACATCGCTTATCTCTGGTTTACTTGGTGTTAGGTTTAGATTAACGAATGACAGGTATTACTATAAAATAAAGATAACTGATAAATATGCTTTATATGTTTTAGATTAGTGTGAATGCATTTTTACCATAAGAATTGGCATTTTCATTAGATTTGCATTATTTTTCATTTTTTACAGTATTTTATAGTATACAAAACTCTGAACAGTGAATATGTAACTCTGAATAATAGGTATCTAAGACCAGTGAATATCAATGAACATTAAGTAACTCTGAACATTAAGTAACTATGATCACTAAGTATCTATGATCAGTAATTAACTATGATCAGCAAGTATCAATGAACATTAAGCAACTCTGATCAGTAAGATGACCAGTCAGTAACTTTAAACAGTAAGTATGTATGACTAATAAGTAACTATGATCAGTAAATATCTATGACCAGTAAGTATGTATGTATGATCAGTTACTAACTTTGAACACTAATAAACAATGACTTGCAACTTTTGTAACACAACACTTTTCTAAGACTTGGCTGGCGGCAGTCACTTCCTTCCGGGGATGTTAGAACCAGTTGGGAATTATAAGCACAGATGTGCAAGATTTGTTTTGGAATAAATTTAAGCTATTTGAGTGAAATTATGGAGATATTTTTCTATTTAATTTTACTAATATATAAATCGGAGCATGACGAATCGGTGGACTATATATATATAGATATATACATATATATACCATAGGAACGATCGGAAAATTTTAAGAAAAAATATTATAACTTTTCCAGTTTTCAAAAGAACTTAATCAAATTTGATATATAGCCATTATATATTAATCTAGCATTTTGTATACAATTTTATGAAAATCGGCATGTCAAAGTTAGTTTCCTTTCTTGGTTGCATTTATATTATGCAAAAGCAGGTAAATCCTTCAGAATGTATTTAATAAATCCTAAAACTAAGTAATCTGTTAGTAATAATATATACTTTGCTAAATCCCCCCTTAAGCGCAAAGAGAGTTTCTAGTTTTTGGAATAACATTTACTTCCAACTCTCCTTTGGAGAATTATAATTTATATGTGGCATTAGTCGGCATAGAATAATCTCTATTAATTAAGGCAATATGCGTTTAATCTCTCTGCCATACCCACTTTAGTTGGGGTCACCACCTGTTCACCATCAACAAGGACCCACACACACTCTCCTTTAGTCCTTTGGTCCTGACTGGGATTCGGCTAATGAAACGCTCAAATATGCATGGAGCTGGGGAGCATGGATGAAGCAAGGCAAGCCACACCGTAGAAATCCCAACAAAAGTTGGCTTAATTTCTGTGAAAATTGTTTTCGCCAAACTATGAAACGATGATTCAGGGACCAAAAACTCACCCTGGAGCATCGTAAACGGTTTTGTTTTGTTCTCGCCATTACTTTTTTATTCCTTATTATTATTATTATTATAACTTTTTGCGAGAGTTTTCATGATGCTGCTGTTGCTGCTACTGCTGCTGATGCTACTCCCTTGTATTTTTACAAGTAATTTAAAAATAATTTTATGTGGGAGGTTGGGCGTAAAGTCTGCTATGAAGTTTGCTTTATTGACATTGTCACCCCCGGTTTGAGCTCAAGCTCGTGACAATGAACGCGCACCTGGAGGATGGCAGCAACTATAACAACTACAACTGCCAACGACAGGATAATAAAATTGCGAAACAACTTTTTAATGAGAAACACTTTTTGCACATTGTTCTGCGGCATTTCCCCGGCGGTCCTGGTTCCACATAATGATGATGGAAATGCTCCAGCTTTCAGATCCAAAGGGATAGGACAGGACACTAACCTGTTGCCTTTGCCACAAAACTATACCCATTACCGGATCGATGCTAGTACTCTGTATATAATACTTTTATAGTACCTATTGGAGCCAGTCCCGTCTGCGATTAACAATGAACATTTTACGCCGCTCTGCGAAAAAAAAAAGAAAAACTACAAACTTTTGCGCCGTAATTGCCCAGAAAAGTAACACAAATGAAACGCATCGACGCTTAATTACTTTTGCTAAATGGTATGAGGAGGGAGGAACCAGGAGGAGTTGGGATTCAAAAGTTCCTAGTAGAAATCAAGCTTCGGGTAAAGAGGCGAAAAAGGCCTTCGGAAAAGTGAAAAAGCTGGGAGGGGGGACACGCTTTCCATTTGGCAATTTACGGCATTCACTTGCTGACTGGCAGTGTTCCGGAATTTTTCCAGGCAAAGAAAATGTACTGAAAATTGTTTCAAAACTAGATATTAAACTTTTGGTAAAGAAATTTTAAATTAATTTCTAAATAAGCCTTCTAATTAGTTATTATTACCTACAAAATATGTTTAAATAAACCCTAAGTTTTGAAAAATTATAACAAAAGATATGATAATGTTAATAAATATCAACTTAATTCAACATTTTCATTTATATCCCATAAAACCCATATATTTCCTTTAATTTAAACATTTTCCAAGACTGAATTTTTATAAAATTAAGTTGGCAAACTCCTTGATTTCATAGAACATCTCCTGATTGCCACCTCTTGCCCTACCCCTTTGGCAAATATATACATATATGAACATGTGTGGGTAAAACCTGGTGGCAAATACTAGTTGCCAGTCGGCACGATTTGACTTTTGTCGACGTCACAATTCGTAGAAGTTTACCCACTTCTGTTGCCGCACAAAACTTGGGCCAAAAAGTTACCCAGCTTGCTGGCACTTGGCAAATGCAAGTTTTTGATTAAAAGCCTCCACCGCCTTCGCCTCCTGCTTTCAGTTAGCAATTGCAGCAGCTAGCAAAAGTTTTTTTGTTGCCTGAGGCAGAGCCAGAGAAATTGTTAATTGAATGCATTTTCGGGGGGTCCCTGCAATGTTTGCCTGTGCGTGATATGGGGCACTTTGCCAGGAGGCCAGGAGGCCAGGAGGGGTTTGCGTAAATGAGCCAGGTTTTTCCAGGGAGATCCTATAGGAACAGCAGCTGTTGGGTTTTGTACCCACTTAAGCAAAGTGCTTGGCCATGCGCCCATACTTGGCCTTAACTTTATGGCCTGTCCAATACTGGCTGACAAGGGAGAGGCCCTAGGATTGAGTATAGTGTTGGTCAAGTGCGTTGTTAAAACCTCTCAAACTGTAAAGAGTTTTGTTCTTCTCTGTGAAAAGGTATATTCCTATTTTAGTAATATTTTCAGCTTTTACTAATTTTAAGATATTTTTAACTGGCTTTTTTAGAAACCAGTGTTGGTAATGGGTGTATACTTAAAGCTATCTATGTATAAAATAGCTTCAGTTAATTTTTAATAATTAAATAGAAATTATTTTAACTCTGCTTTGTGTTTTATAATCCCTTTCGCGCATTTCTACAAACTATTCCTTATAACCTGTATTGCTTAGGATCATTTGTAATTTTATTACAGTTAAGTATTATTACTGTGTATATTTTAAACTGTACTTGAAGTATTTAAAGTGATTGTTTTGGTTCTATTTTTACTTTTTTTTATTTTCAAGGGCTAACTACACTTTTAAATGTTCTGTATTCAGTCTTTAGCCACACTTGAAACCTTTTAGTGTTGGTCAACGCACTTTAAATTTAAGTGCAAATGACCAGGACAATGGAGCTCCCTCTTTTTCTGTCTCTCTCTAGCTTGAATCCTTGCGGATCGCAGAGTGGTGACCACTTGCAGTTGGTCTTGCCCCCCAGCCCGCAAAATTAATGCGGCAAGCACCACCTCGACCTCCTGCTTCTGCTCCTGCTACCTCTTTGTACGTATTACTCCCATTTCTTCTCCAGGACCTCCTCCTTCAGTACCTCCTCCTCTTTCCCAGCAAGGTGAACCCTTGGTTGTTGGCATTAAAAATGCATTGGCCTCCACGTTTATTGTAGTTCCTTTGGCCGGGGCTTTGGTTTAGTTTCGTTTAGGTGCGCCTCTCCTTTTGCCTGTTGCAGCTGCCGGGATTCCTCTCCACTTTCCACTCCACTCCACTCTACTCCATATCCTGGGACACTCACTCACACACTCGCACACACTTTTCATTAGCTCAAAGGAGCACCCCTGAGGTGCTCAGGTGGTGTGTGTGTGTGTGGGGGGAAACCTCTTAAAGTTAAGCGCAGCAAAAGTTGCCTTAAAGACTTTTCGCCAGTCAATGACTACTAACATAGAATATAGGTGTGGGAAGAGGATGGAAATGGAAATGCGGGATTCTGGCTGCTGAATGCTGGATTTTGGGTCCTCTGTACCGCCCTCTTGGTGTCCATGGGCGTGGCAGCTGAATGCTTCGACGGGCAAGCGGCGGAGACCGAAAAATAAAGCAAAAGCCAGGAGGAGCAGAAGCATGAGCAGCAAAAGCAGCTGCAGATTTTCTATAAAAGCCGAGGCTAACGAGATTTGATGAATTGCAAGTCTTTGTGAATGAAGCTACAAGAAAGCTGCAGCATGAATGGTCTCCCTCCCCCCCGGCCACTGCGTCTAAGCCAGGTCCGTATATATATATATATATATATATAGGAAAAAAAACCCATTAAGTGGTTTAAAGCAGTGAAAAAGCGCACACAACAAGCACACAACACAAGGCAACATAGCAAAAGAAAAATGCAGTTGACATGAAAGGCAAGCCTCGCTGGGTTTTCCGAGGGGGAAGAAAGACAGCGCAGACAGGGAGCTGGAAAAACTTGGGAGCTTGGGAGCTTGGTTAGCACAATGCTCACCCAGAGACGAGAGATAAAGCTAAAGGAACACAGGCAGTCGCTGGTGGAGGACAAAAGCAGCTTGACGAATTACTTGGCAGCTGCTCCCAGGGAAAATCCATCCACGGTAGATGGAAGACGACCATCCATGCACCATGGAGCAAGAAAATTTAATTTGACCAACATTTTGATGTATCAAGTTCAGTCGTAGAGCTCGAAGATTTATGACTTGCTGACAGTGGCCCGGATTGGGATGTTTTTTTGGTAGACGGATAGCAAAGTCTTGCGGATTAGGCAGGGGGATTATTTGCAGCTTAGCAAAAGGCGGTGTCATGGCAATTGAGTTACCTAAGTTAGTTGAGGAAATCGCTTTAAGGCGGTCAATTAATAGAATAAAAACATTAAAAATTAATACAAATATATATAAAGGAAAGAAAATTGTAGGAAATAAGTTTATGGTTTAAAAAATGTATTAATAAGTTAATAATAATAATAAATAACATAAAATATGTATATAAGCCTAACAATTGTCAACAAAATAATACACAAATCTAAACAATTACCAAAAGGTCTTAGGACATTTATTTTAAATATAATAAACCTGAAACAACATTTTAAACCTTACCTAACTTAACTTTCAGATAGCTTTTAAATCGTTTTTTAATCAATAACTAAAAAATCTAAAGCTTTCCTCTCAATTTCATGTTCATTATCAAAGCTTTATTAGTTATTTCTCAGATATTGCTCAGATCTCTCACAGATCTTGGCATGCTTCCACGGAAAAGCTCTGTCTTGAGCCAAAGAAAAATGAAAGTAAGCAGACAACTTTGAGCGCATTTCCCATTTCCACTTGCCGCGCGCGTCACGTAATGAGCCCAATGGAAATGAGGAAAAACAAGGCCTTGACTTTGGAGCCAGTTTGACTTGAACACTTGACTGATGGATAATTGGTGCCGTGACGTTGGGGGGACTGTGACTTCAACTGTGACGGGTACAGTGACTGCGACACGTTACACGGCGAGAAATTATGTTGCATTAACATTACTTAAGCATAAATGTAAGCAAAGAGGAATTTTAAATAAAAAATATCCTTGGGTATTATTATTTTCGTCAAAAGCTTCAATTGATGTGAAGGAATCATTTCCGATCCTATAAATCATATATATTCTTGATCAGCATGAGCAGCCGAATCGATCTAGTCGTCTCCGGCAGAAAATAAATTTTTATTTTTTTTCAAATTTTTTTAAGGGGTTTCATCATTAAAATTACAAAAAAAAAAAGTCAAATTTTTTATTTTTTTTTTTAATGTTAAATCGAGTATGCAGATTTATTAACCTTATAAAAACTAACATAAGAAAGCTTTCCGATTTAAAATTAATGCTTTTTTGGCTTAATTATGAGATTTTTAAACTTTAAATATTTTAAAAAAATTTTCATATACAACACCGATTAAAAAATTGGTATTATAATTTCAGTCAGAAGCTTCTAACGATATGAAGGAGGCATTTCCGACCCTATAAATCAGATATATTTTTGATCAGCATGAACAGCCGAGTTGATCTAAACATCTCTAAAAGAAAATAAAAATTTTTAATTTTTTTCACAATTTTTATGGTGTTACAGCCTTAAAATTCTAAACAAAAAAATGTCAAAATTTTAAATATTTTAAAATGATTAATTGAGTATGCAGAATTATTTACCGAATAAAAACTAGCACAGAACAGTTTTCCGAATTGGAATTACTTCTTTTTTGGCCAAGTTATGATTTTTTGAAACTTTAAAATTAATTAATTCCTGGTTGGAGAAACCTTCTTAATATTTCTTTCAACCGTTTTGAGGCATATAAGAATTTTATTAAAGAAAAACTACAAAGCAGCATGCTTTGTTTAAAGTCATTGTGAAAATAAAACAACGTTTTCAGTCTGCCTGAATCTTAAATACATTCGAACTTGTGCTAGATTCAGATATATTTTATTCCCAGTATTAAAATTACTACAAGAGTGCAGTTATTCCTTTGGATTATTATCCTGGCTTGACTAAGGAACTGTCAGAGTAAGTCTCCGCCTCGAAGCTTCCTCGGAATACAATATCATCCAATCCAATCATTCTTTCAATATCATCCAATACTACAGCTTCTTCCATATTCAATGTAAACTAAGATAAAGCCTCTTACAGGATAATGAAAGCCATGTTCAAGGTGGAAAATGCTCCTAATATATTGGATCCAATCCTACTAACCCTAAAGTCACCGAGAGCAAGAATCAATTTGAGAACAGGAAATGTTGCATCTCAACGAGTGTATTAATTAAAATGAATTGTTAATTGTAAACACAGTTCTTCAATGTGACTTTGCGTTTTACGTTTTGTTTTTCATTTCCAATTTGTTGCCAATAAACTAAACAATCTTTTATATATCTTTATACTATTATAATTAATAAAAAACACTATAGCTAATGGCATCCTTTGGCTCTGCACAACCGCAGGCTAGTGTCCAGAAGAGCAGCAGCTGCTCCTGTTCCTACTCCTGATCCTGCTCCCATATCCATTTCCCCTTAAAATCACTCACAAGTCAATAGCAAAATTTATGGGTTAAGTAATGCTAAAAGCGTTTTTATTCACTCACCTTCAAGTGGCACAATGGAACACATGCACTGAAAAAGTAAAGAAAAATTAAAATTAGTATAAAATTGTGAAAGAGTTGATATATTGGTGAAAAACTTAATTCAGTAACATTAATTATACGTTTATAATTAATTTATAAGTAAGAAAACTTAAATCTAAACTGGGGAAAGGCTCAAGAAAATGTTGCCAAAGAAATATTGACAAGAACCTGGCACATGTTGCAATTGTAAAGGAAAATAATATTACTTATCCCTGGATTTATGGTTTACTATATATTTAATATATAATCAAACCTTTAAAAAACTATAGGAAAATAAGATTGGTAGAGGACATTGCATAGGTTTAGTATATGTATTGCTTAATATATTTCCTAAAGAAATCCTTTAACTTAACCTTCCATCCCCATTCTTCCCGCATTATAACGAACCCATAAAGCCAAACTGGAAGCTGGCTGGAAACTGCCTCATGAAAAGAAATGGAAACTTGTTTAACCGTATCATGGTCAGCAAATAATGGCCACAAACATGGCACACCAGGCAGCCTTGCAACATGGCAACATGGCAACATGGCAAACCTGGCAAAGCCTGGCAACATGTGGCAATGCGGAAGAGGACAAGATACAAAAGCGATCCGGCTAATTGTGCCACGCCTTCCGTTCGGAACCAATTCGGAAGACGGAACCCAAGCGGATCGAAATAAATGCAACCAAAAATCTGCGTTTACTTGAGCTAAACTTGAACTTGAATCGCTGGCCAAAAAAGCGTTTTTGCAACAAAAGACATGCAACAATGCAGCAGTGTGGCGAGGCTTCCAGAGAAGTCCAAGTCGCGTGTGTGTGTCATGTCTGCAACTGCCACTGCAACTGCAATTTTCGTTGCGGGAAATTGACGCTATTTTGCCGAAAGGCTATGCCAAAGCAGAAAAGCTGAAAAGCCGAAAAGCAGCAAAAGCAAAGAAGTTGAAAAGCTGAAAAGCCGTAAACCGATATAAAAGCCAAGTACGCAACGTTTGGCGTGTTAATCAAAGCGCGTCGTTCGCCAGGAAAAGTGCAAGTGATTTTCCAAAAATAAAACAAAAAAATAAAGTGCAATCAATATTAAAAAAAAACACTAAGATAGCAAGCAAGGTGAATCAAGTGGCTATAAATATAATTTTTTTATAGTGTGTGCAGCTTAAATTAAGCAGAGGATAAGCCAAGGATTTAAGGATTATGGAAATATGAAGTCTTAACAATCAATAAAACAATAATTAACCTACAGAAAGAAATCTTTAAGAAGAAAGGTCGAAAAAACAACATATCGAAAGCCTAATTTATATAGTTTTGTTTTATAATATTTTCCTGTTAACATATACGTTTTAAAAGCTTTTATAAATTCTTAAAATAATTCCAAGAGTTTACAAGAATTATAAAAAAATCAAAGCAGCTAAAAAGTGGCTGAAATATTGTTTACAAATATTATATTTTTATAATTCCTTCATATTGAAAACATAATTTAAGTTTTAAGACCTTGACAAAATTATTTAAATATTAACAGGAGCTTAGAAAAATCTTTAGGAAATCCAGGTTACTGTAAAGTACCTTAAATATTATTTAAAAATGTAATTCCTTCATATTTAAAGCCCATTTTATAAGTTTAAAGATACTAAAAACGTATTGAAATAATTTCAAGAGCGTAGAAAAATCTTTAAAAAATCCAGATTACTGTAAAGTACCTTAAATATTATTTAAAAATGTAATTCCTTCATATTTGACACAGATATAATTTTTAAGACCTTAAAGAAATTATTTATATATTAACAAGAGCTTACAAAAATCAGTAAAAAATCAAGGCGACTGTAAAGTACCTAATTTATTATTTAAAAATTTAATTCCTTCATATTTTAAGCAAAATTTAAGTGTTTTAAGACCTTAAACAAATTATTTAAATATTAACAAGAGCATACAAAAATCTTTAAAAAATCAAGACAGCTAAAAAGTATCTAAAATATAGTTTAAAAATATAAATTGTAAATATTTCCATCTCAATTAATATATATTTTATATGAAACTTCCCCCTTAGATGCTGTGTCTGCCCCCCGTACACTGTCATCACCTGCTCCTGTTGCTCCTGGTCCTGCCCCTCATCCTGGCCAGCCCCGTTTCGAGTCCGGAAATAACCAGCAAGGGGATCAAGTCACCCAACAGTGTGCAACAGCAACAAGTGCAGCAACAACAGCAGCAGGTGCAACAGCAGCAGCAGCAACAACAGTTGCAACAACAGCAGCAGCAACAAGAGGCACATCTCAACTCTCTAAGTGCCTATGCCAGTGGCTATGACATGACTGCTCAGAATCAACTCCAGGATCCTAGTGGATCCTTCAAACCCTCATACAAAATGCCCGAAATGGAGACCAATTTTACGCCCATGCAAACAGCAGGAACACCAAGTGTGGCCAGTCTTCCTTCCACACCAATGTTGATGCAATATCTTCCCGCTCAAACGCTCCAAGATGGCACTGGCAATGGCGTTCAATATTTGCAATTAATACCCACCAGACCCATTATTGTACCCATATCGCCATATCTCTCAGCTGCTGCGGCTGCAGCTGCCACTCAAACGGGTGTTGCAAATCCAAGTCTTTCCGCTGGGGGACAACCTGATTTTGGTGGACGAACAGCTGCCGTATTGAGTGCCTTGCCACCAAATTATGGCGCCCTTCAGGGTTATGCCACAGCTCTGAATCCCACCCTAAGTCCTGCTTTTAGGAGTAACTATCGGATCAATCGTGAGGCCAAGGATAAGCATTTTCCACCAGCTTTTTCACTGAATCTCAATGAATATCTGCCAGGCAGCTCAATGGGTTTGGGCCACGACACCATGGCCAATGGACCGCATTTGTATCTAAGAGCCAGGTCCTAGAAAGTCAAAGTTAAAATTCTGACTATTTTTTTTTTGTTATTTGTAATAAACTGTTATGTAAATTGTTAAAAGATGCTTATTTGTTTTAATTATACGCCCTACTTTCAAGCCTTTTGAAGTGGATTCCCTAAGCAGTAATTGTAGAGTAAACAAAGCACAAGTACTTGCTGTCAGGGTCAGTTATTAACATAATGGGTCTCCCTCCCCCCCCAAAATACTTATTCTTAAACAAAAACATGAACACATTTAGCTTTCGCTTTAATTTACATAACTTCCATTTCATTTACTCCCCCATTAAGAGTTGAGTCATCGTCAGCGGACTTCCACCTTTCGTTTTCGTCATAGGAGATACAAACATATAGCATATGTCTTATGGAATGACCCAACCTGACCGAAAATAAAACCCAAATGTAACTCAGAGATCTAGACTGTTTATTTTCCAAAGAGGGGGAGGGTTTAGTGGATAAACAAACACACACCTTAGACACCAACAAGGTCGTCTCCAAAACACCACACAGAATGCAGCTTCATTGTTATTATGTTTTCTTTTATTTTATTTTTTTTTTTTTGACTTGTTTCTCTTACGTTTATTTGCGTGAAAGTGTCTGAAAAGTGACCGAAAAGCAAGCATTTCACGCCCCAACGGAACACAGAGGGGCAATAGTCCATCTACCTGGCCAAGATCCATGTAATCCATGGCTCCAACCTTGGCTGCCACAGTTGCATCACCTTTTCCGCACCTTTTGCCTTCATCTAATTGTCACAATTTGACAAATTCATTTGGCATTAACTGGCTTCAAAAATAAAATCGGATTGAAAGCTTTCATTACCTTTACATTGGGCATTTAAGGAGGGGAAAGAGGTATTCCATTTGGAATGGGGCAAGTTAAGAGGGGGCACCCAGCCCGAAGCATCTTTCACTTGCCACAGTTAAGTGGAGCAAATGCCCAAAGGCCCTTTGATCTTGGGAGAAGCCGAGCAAGTAGAGTTTTGTATACTCTTTAAATTATTTTAAATAATTTTTTAAGGGCTTTTCTCTTTAGTTTTTAATTATTAATAATTTAGCACTATAGACTGTCTGTATTTATTAATGTCAGAATAATTAATAATGTGCTTTAACTCCCTATTACAATAATCCCAATAATTACTCAACCTATCTGTAAAACAATTTATGATTTGAATTTCATGTTAATAAATAATTAGTTGCTTTAAAAATAATTAAAAAGAACAACAATATTTAGATTTAATTGTTATCCATACAAAATTTTATATATTTTTTATTTATGTCTTTGCTGGGTATTATAATTTTATTCAGAAGCTTATAAAACTATGAAAGAGTTATTTCCGACCCTATAAATCATATATATTCATGATCAGCATCAACAGCCGTGTCGATCTAGCTATCACAGGCAGAAAAAACATTTATTTAATTTTTTCGAAATTTTTTAAGGGTTGAAATCGTTAAAATTGTTCAAAAAAATGTCGACAAAATTTTAATTTTTTTACATTTTAAATTGAGTATGCAGATGTATTAAACTAATAAAAACTAACATGGGACAGCTTTCCGAATTCAAATTAATGCATTTTTGACTTAGTTATGAATATTTTAGGCTTTGATTGTTGTCATATAAAAATGGTTATTTTGAGTAAAGAATATTTAAGTATTCTTTTCACAGCTTGCTTTTCATTTATTTCTCTTTTTGTTTAAGTTATTAATGGAGCATTCTATTTTAAAATATCGTTTTCTAAGAAGAATAAAATCTCTATATATATATATATTTAAAAGTTAAAGTAATTAAAGTTATTAAACGTAAGTATTTGTGGTAATTTACTTATATTCAAATTGTAAGTTATATATTACAATTTAAAAAATAAATAATCTAAAATGTTGCTTGTATGTTTTCTTGGTTTTAAATAATATTTATAATTATTTCCGTTCTTTGAACTTCTCCTAACATTTTCTAGTTTTAAATAATTTTTCTGTATATTTTCTTTCTTTAATTTTCTTGTTTTAAATAATATTTCTATCTATCTTCTTTATCTATCTTTCAATCTATCTTCTTTTTAAGCAATGGATTTAATAAAATAAAACCCTAGGCAAATTGATTTATTTTGTGTGGTAAACCCCACATTTGGTGAGGGTAACAATGAGCGCAATTCGTGGAGCATTCCACACATCGCAACCGAGAGTGCTTCAATTCACTTTCAATCACTCCCATCGCCAGCGCGTTCCACATGTCGTCGATGCACCACATTGGGACTACATTGGGACCACATTGGACCACGTTAGACCTGTGGCTACAACAATGATGATGACGATGATGTATCCACTGGCAATGGAATGGTGGAGGACGCCCCATGGCGGTGAATCCCTTGTAAATGGGATTTGAATCGAAATGGGGGGAGGGATGGGTCGAAATCGGATGGATTGGGCGCACTTGCTGCGGAAATGAGCGGTTATCGATGCTCAAAAGAAGACGAAGACGAAGTCCATTAGATGAAGTCTTACATACAAGACCACTTGTTGGATGCTGTTATAACACTTTAAAATGCGTAAATTAGCCTTCGTTGTTTTTGCCGGGGCGGTGCTCGTTTGTTGTTACCTGATTGAGTTTGAAATGATTTCAATTTGAGTTTGAGTTGGGCTTTGGCTTCGGCTTTAGCTATGGCTATGACTTGGCATTTACTTTCCTTTTTTCAATTAATTGCGAGCAACTTTAAACGGAGCCAATCCAATCTGTGTCCGCATTGGGTTTTTTGTTTTGTTGCGTCTTTCAATCCTTCCTGCCTTACTTCCAATGCCTCATCTGCATCTCGGGTGGGCATTTCTTGAACAACAAAATGAACTGCAAAATGAACTGAAAATGAAAATGAAACCAAATGAATGCCAGTCCATTCGAGTGCCAAGAGAACGCCGAGTCGCCCATGTGGCTTTCAACTATAAAATGCCGTGTCAGAGCTTCGCGCCATTGCAGTTGCCAAAGCGATCGTCGTTCGCTCGGTTCGTTTGTTGCTTAATTTTCGTTTTTAGTTTTTTTGTTTTTTTTTTTTTTGTTTGATTTTAATTTTCGGACTCGGTTTAGTGGCTATTTTTTGTTGCTGTTGTTGTTGTATATTTTCAAGTGCCTTAATATCATTCCAACTTGTAGTGTTTTGTGGTGTATTTGCAATTTGGTGAATGTTGTCTTGTGCTGGTTGACTCTCGCAGGAGTGATCATCATCAGTTATTCGAGCAGGCTCATCATCATCATCTACATCATAGTAACTGCCCCATCATCATCATCAATATAAACGGAGGAGAGACCATAAACGGGATACTGTAATCATGGTGCGTATATATAACTTTACCGGAAAAGGAGTGGAATCTTAAGTGGAGATCAGAGATCAGAAATCAGTATCTAGCCGAGAAGTTATAGAACTTGCAATAGAGATACAATTAAAGAAGATATATGGAATACAGGTGGATAACAAAATATTGATTTAATATATTATATACAATAGAAGATTGATGGAATACATATGATTAATAAGATATTTATTTGATATATTATATATTCAAACAATAGAAAAGGAATGAAATAAAGATGGATAATATAAAGTATCTATTAAAGATATTATATAAAATGAAAGATATCTATCATTGCATCTGTTAGTTGGCTATATGTATGTGGGATTATAGATAGATCATATTATATATATATATATATTATATATACTATAAAATATTATATATTATCTATAGAAGATATAGGTGAAAGTTTTCTCAAAAAACTCATTATAAAGCTTAAGGATTTATAGGGGAAAAAATATAAAGATGTAAGTAGTATAAATGAAGAACTTCAAAATGAATAAATTTATAGGGAAACGTACTTAATCTTGGTTTAAAATATTATAAACCATAAATACTATATGAAAGTAATGAAAAATAAAATAAAAACAAAATTAACAACAATAAAATTAACCACAAAAAAACTATTAATTAAAAAAAATAGAAAGTAATAAGCATAGTAAAACAATAAATAATATGCTTTAGTTAATAATATATATAATATAAGTTAATAAAATATATTAGTACTACAACAATCTATACAATGATAAAAAATATAAGCAATGATGATAATAAAAAAATAATAATATTAAATATTATAAAAAATATAGACATATCTTCAGCTGACATATACAGAAAAAATGTTAAAGATGTTAAAAAAAAAGTATATGTTAAGCCTAACAAGTAACTTAACTCTAAAAAAAATGGGATCATCTTTTACTTGCAAAGAAATCAAAAAAAAAATACGGTAATATTTATAGCCCAGCAAAAAGAAATATTGAACAAAGCAATTAAATTTAAATGATATAATAAATACATAGTAAATAATAAAACAAAAAAAAAAACCTAAGAAAAGTCCATTATTTAAACTTCGCTTCGGCATCACATTTAAAAATAAATACAAAAGCAAATAAGTTAATTACTCACAAAATATTTAAGCTACAACCAAAAGATTAAACTAGGGATTACCTTGAACATAAAAGATGTCAAAAATATATGTATATATATATATATATTACTTCCAATAACTAATAGTTAGCTTACTACATAAACACAAGAGCTAAGCACACGTGGAGAATTGGCAATCCACCAGAGAATGTGCGATTGAGTTGTCCGAAAAAAGAAAACAACAACAACAAAATATATGAAAAACAAAGTATCTCTAATGAGACAATTTCATGGTCCAAAGATTGATTGATGATGCGATATGTCACCGCAGCACTATCCATTGCCATTCGAGGGTATTATTTAGCGATACAAAAGGGGGAAAGTTGGGCGCGGAAGCCGGATAAATCAGATAGAAATGGGAGAGTCAGGGGTTCACTTTCCTTTGAGGAATTTAAGCTGAAAACGGATTTAAGTTTACAGATTTTTTTAAGGCCTCAAGGGAGAGAGGAAAATATAATCCTAAAAAATAATTTATAGCATTTAAAAGACCATTATTTAAGTATTAAGCTTTTGTTTTAAACAGTTTTTTGCAACTTTCTGTTTTATGTCCTTTGTTTTTTAAACATTTTGTTGTTGTTGTTTTACAACTTCATTAATTTTTAGTATAAGCAGTGCTTAAAAATGATTTTATTAACTAAATAAAGCCAGCTTTTTAATTAACAAAGATTTATCTTTGTCATAAACATGAGGAATATTTATTTAAAACTCAAATGTACTTGCTATTTTTGATAAATTATTTACTTCTGACTTTTATATTTAGAGCACACATTTATAAAGTTTAAAATATAGTATTTGGACTTATAAAATTTGCATTAAAAATTATACATGTTTCAAGAACTCTTTAACTTTATTTTTAAATACAAACTAAAAAAAGTTTGACTCTAGAAAAATTCTTAAAATCAGCATAAATCTACAACTTTTACCTTAATGATATATTATAGCTCTTGATTTTAAATATTTAAAGTACGCGCTTATAAATTTTTTATTTCTTTATAAATTTAAATTTTAAAAATAAAATAAATTCTTTCTTAAGGGCGCAATTAATTTTTTCTTTTATCAAAATAAAAACAGTTGCTCCCTTTAAAAATTTTTTCATGTGCATAAATCTAAGCTTTAATCAGCTTAAAGATTATTAACCAAACTACTAATTTTAAAGTATTTTTGCCGAATTATTTCTCTGTATTATTTATCCGAATTCCGAATTTATTTCAGCTCATAAAATTTTTATTTATATTTTAAATATTTTTTTTAATACTTCAACCCTTTACCTGTGGACGTATTCATTAAGTTAGCTTACCAAAATCCTTAGTAACCTATAAATATATATTCTATATATATTTTCGATCGCATATTGCCTGACATTGCCCTAGAACCTCGTTAAACTTAAGTGTTCATCGTTAGTTTCATCTAATCGAAGTTTGTGCCTCGGCCCTGTGGCAAGTTTGTGTCTTAAGTCTTTTGTTTTGTGTCTCTTTTTTGCTCAGCGTCTTTTTCAGCATTGTTTTTTGTCCCAACTATATATATTTTTTTTTATTTGTATTTATTGTGTTGTATTGGTTTTTCATCCGTTTTTAACACTTTGTGTGGTCGCTGGTTATTTGTTTGTTTTTTTTTGCCCAAGGGGTCCGCAAATTACGCGTGTTAACGATGCGCACTCCATTAGCGCCGTCTGGCCATCAATCAATCTGCATTTGCATCCATCGCATCGGACTGTGTCTTATGTCATTTGACCTGGTTGGGATCATTAGACGAAAACCGAAAAATGATTATTTCTTTAAAGGAGGCAACGAAATCTGGGGCACGCATGCAACTTTGGCGGCATCAAACTAGTTTTGTTGCCATGTTGCAACATAACTCGGAATGCTTCTCTCATCAGCCTTCTCTTCTCCATTGGCCATTTGCCATCTCGCGTGACAAATGGTCGTAAGCGCCTAAGACTGGCCGAAAAATGAATGAAAAAAATCCTCTTTTGGGGTTTTAGTTTTTGGTTTTTCCTTCTCAAATTTTTAGAAAGGCTTATCAGTTGGTGGGCGGCCTTCGCCGGCAGGTGCTGTACTTCTTCTTGTTTTCTTACTAACTAACTTTTTAATCCAATAAAAAGCCAAGATGCGAGGAGCTTGGCCTGCACAAATTTCACACTAAAATTTATTTTGGTTAATCCGTTGATCTTTCCACCTGACCAAAACTGTGCAAAAAAATGTATAAAACACAAAACGGGGAAGTACCTCGCCCCGCCCTTTTGCAATTTTTTTTTCTTAGCCAAATTAAAACTGGTCAAAACTCAATTAAACGCATCAATAGGCGCTCAAGGGGGCGTGGCAGCGAAAGGCGCCAAAAACCAAGCCTTTCACCAAAAATACAAACAAAAAGCAACCAAGTTTAGTGCACAACAAAATAAAGAAAAACACAAAAACTTGCGACTAATTCAAAGAGCCAAGCGTGTAATACACTTGCAGAAAAATAAATAGTGAGAGGTGTCAAGGTCGGTTCGGTAAAGTGAGGATTGCCAGAAAATTATTATAGTTTCTTTGTAGTATTTCTTTTTAATATTTTACAAATAATCAACAACTAATACAAAAGGCTTTGTCTATCGGCTTAAAACGATTTCGGTTTTTATGAGCTCCTTACTTTTTCCAAATGCAAATTTTTGCATAACAAAAATTCCAATTTTATTGGTAACTTTGACCTATAGAATTCCTTATGCTTGAATTTATGAGATTTTATGGCATTAGAAAACAAGTTTGAATTGTAAAGAAGGCAATAATATGAGAAGCTTAATGGTATTATGCAAGGTTTGATATGATTTCTTAATGTTTCTTAGGCGGTTTCTTTGCACTTTCCATAAGGTTTTCTTGTGATTTTCTTAATATTCTCAAGGGTTTCTTTGGGTTTTTCTTAAGGTTTTCTTGAAATTTTCTTAATATTTTCAAGGGTTTAATGTTTCTTAAGGTTTTCTTAGAATCTCTTGAGGTTTTCTTAAGGTTTTCTTAATGTTTTCATAACAATTCTAAGATTTTTAATGTTTCTTTAGGTTTTCTGAGAATATTTTAAGGGTTTCTTAAGGTTTTCTTAATATTTTATTCACATTTTCATGATCTTAAATATTACTTAAGGGTTTCTTAGGATTTTTAAAGTTTTTTAAGAGTTTCTAAATATTTTTCTTAACATTTTCCATATGTTTCTTAGGGTTTTCTTATGACTTTTCTTAGGGTTTTCTTAATATTTTCAATATCTTTTATGTTTCTTAATGTTTTCTTAGGATTTTTTAGGGTTTTCTTAATATGTTCTTAACATTTTCAAGATCTTTAATGTTTCGTAAGGTTTTCTTAGGATTTTATTTGGGGTTCCTTAAAGTTTTCTTAATATGTTCAAGATCTTGAATATTTCTTAGGGTTTTCATAGGTTTTTTTAAAGATTTTCTTAAGGTTTTCTTTAAGTTTTCTTAATTCTTTCTTAACATTTCCATGATCTTTAATAGAACTAATAAAAATTCTTTATAAAATCTTCAATTATCTCCCTTGTCTTGCCTAAAAATGCTATTAACTACTGCTCTTAGCTCTTGTTATATAATATATTAATGTTAATGTTTTTGAAGGGTTTTTATGATTTATCTTAGGGTTTTCTTCATATTTTCGTAAAATTATCAAATTATAAATTATAAATTCCTCTATTATCTCCCTTCTATTTCCTAAAAATGCTATTATCTACTGTTCTGAACTCTTCTAATATATAATATATAACCCTCTCTCCTCTTCCCTGTAGTTGCAGCATCACCTCCTCCTACTCCTCTTAGCCATTGCCTTATCCACCGCCCAGGCTGTGCTCTCTCCGCCTGGTTACAATGACGACGACACCTCACCACTGCCCCTGCGTCTGGAGGATCTGGAACGTGAGCAGGAGCAGCATCAGCATCTGGACCTCAATCGACCGCCTCTCTTGCCCAACCACTACGAATGGCGACCGGATGTGGCAGCCAGTCTCCCGCCCAGTTATCTCCAAGATGCTGCCCATCGAGAGCGAGAGCGGGAAAGGGATTTGGAGCGTCTCCAGCAACTGGAGGAACTGCGTCAACTCCAGAGACAACATCAACAGCTGAGCGCTGGCTATGCATTTCCCTCGCACCTGCCAGGTGTGCTCTATGTGTGAGTATTTTCTTTTATTTATATTATATTATTTATTTCGAAAAATAAAGTTAACTGGAAAAGCTTTGCAACCAACTTTGGGACAGAAAACTGGCTTAGTTTAAGCTTGTAAGCTTTTTGGCTTAAAAGCAAGCTTTAGTTGGTAGCAAAACTTGGCAGGTAAAATGCTTTTATGTTAGCTCTTTCTTAAGCTTAAAGCATTTTGGCCAAAAGCTTCAGATGGTTAAGTTTTGAAGGCTAGAAATGGAAAGACTTAAGGCACAAACTTGGCTTGAAAGAAATCCAAAAGCGAAGACTTACTTGTACTTATGTATTTAATAAAATAAACTTTTTAAGAGGTATTAAATTAACCCAATTTTAAAGATTCTTATATTTGACCTTTTTATATATATATTTTCGGTAAATATATTTCCCAGAAACCTTTAAATAAGTTGTTTGAACTTAAAAAAATTGATTTATATAAATTTGCTTAAACTTGTAGTGAAGTATATAATAAAATAAACTTTTTGAGAGTTAAAAACCTCTTCATTTTACAGATTTTAACGTATTAACAGTTTGTTATTATATTTTATTTAAATATGTTACCCAAAAACTTTTAAATAAGTTTTTTGAAATTATTATACAGATTTTCTATTTTTAAAATTTTGTTTTATATATATTTTATGTAAATATATTACCCAGAAACCTTTAAACTTAAAAATTAAATAGAAAAAATCGTCGCAGCTTAATTTTCCAACTACATTTAAGTATAAAACCAAACTACTTTTAACCCAAATTAACCTAAGATGGCTACTATTTAAACTTAACTACCTAAAAAAACTATAATCAAGCCTCCTCCTAAGGTTCAGTTAGCCACCAAAATATATATACGATACGATACCATATAACCTCCGAAGGGGCAACTGATTGAGGGCTCTTTGCTGATTGATTGATGTGCAAATTGAGATTGTGGAATTGGAAATTGGGAATAGAAATGGTAATAAGCAACGATTTGTGGCCTAAATGATAGTTAAAGCCCAAGCAAACCAATTCAGGCAATTTTCCCAACTTAAATCAGTAAGTTAGTAAGTCCAATTGGTATCTCTTTAACCGAAAGTGTTGAAGTGTCAGGCATTTCACTTACAATTGGCTTCCGACAAATGAAGCCAACAATTGCTTGGTAATTATGGGAATTTCACTAATCAGCTTCTTATTTTTTCTTATTTTCTACTCTATTTTTTCTCTATTTTTTATGGAATTTTTTAGAGGACCCACGGCAGCCACGCCCACACCCACAACAACAACACCTACTGCTGCTGCTGTTGCTGCCACACGATTCCTTAAACCCATAGTGCCCTATGACCTGGAATTGGGTCTTAATGGTGTCCAATATGTGGCCAGTAATGCTTTGCCTTTGCCTGTGCCAAGACCTCTGCCACCGCCCAATGGAAGACCACCTTTTAGTTATGGATTTACCCAGGGACAAACTAGACCCCAGAAGTCTTTTGGACCACCTCAATCCAAGCAATTTGCTTTTGCACCACGTCATTATGCCAATGGACCCAGGATTCCTTTGCCTTATCCACCCAGCTTTGTGAGCATTACAACAAGGCCACCACCTGGTTATAGATCGAAACCCTTCCGGCCATCCCAACCAGATCCCACACCAGATCTATTTGCGGGACGTAACTCCAAGTCACTGTTGGACTCGTACATACCCAGTTGGGAAGTGTTGCGTCTAATCAGAGAGCAAAGCTCTCGAAGAGGAGAATTTAATCCCATTCAGCGTCAAACTCTGGCTTATGCAGCGCCACAGCATCTAAGGTTATACAAAAGAGATTCCTTGGATTCAAATCGTATGAGAATTGTGAAGAAATCATTGCCAGGAGAGCCAGGGAAAGCCAAGGAGTAAATGGGGTTGCAGCTCAAGGGTTTTTTAGTTTAAAGATTTTATAATATATATTTTTTGTTAATAACTAAATATATGAAAATACGAATATTTATTGCAGCGAAAAGAGGAGAAAAGGTGTTTTACTCTTTGGTTTTTAAGAAGTACGTTTACAAAGTTTGAGTTAAAAGAGATCTCCTGAACTTGAAAGCTGTTTTAATGGTAACAACAAAGGAAACTCTTTTTGTTTTAAAAAGTCAGTTTACAAAGTTAGAGTTAAAATAGATCTTTTGCACCTGCTTTCAAGAGAGAGATAGATCGGGTATCAAAGATCACATAACCACCAGAGACGCGTCTCCAGGCCAAAAGCCTGAAAGCCAATCGAATCGAATGTGCAAAATGTGACTGTTTTTTCAAAATAAGCTGCCGCCTGGCACATCTTTCTCTCTCTCAACGGACTCCTCTCCAACTTTGAATCACGTAATCGCGGCCATAAAGCCAAACAATTAAGGTGCGACGCCACACGGAGTGGCCACAAAATGATGGGGTTATGATTTGTGTGGCACTGTGCCGTCGTCTTCAAAAATCCCAAAAGCCAACAGACCAGACCAAAACCAGACTGCAGACAGATTTATGCAAGTAGGAAGCAAAGATGCCACGATGCTGCATCAAGATGCTGCTGCTGCAGATGCTATATTTGTTGTCTTGCCGTTTCGGCCATCTCATGGCTGTTAATGAAGCTGCCACTGACGGTGGCAGCAAAAATAAATGCCAAGATTCATCCGCAGGCGAAGGCGAAGAGGGGCAGGCCAAATTGCCGCATTGTTTGTCATCCATTAAATATGCAGACAACAGGCTAGAGGAGATTGGAGAGATGAGACTTGAAGACGAGAGTTAAAGATGCAGGAGATGCTGATGTTGATGTTGATGATGACAAGCCCTGCCCTGGCTTTAAGGGTGCCACACTAAGACATATTTCCTGGCTGCAGTTTTAAGTTCCGGAAATTATACACCAGGAAAAACAATAGAGCAAGTGCGTTTTTAAAATATAATTTTCCAAAACAATTTGAATTTAACAAAACTAGACAAGTTTTCATTGTATACAACAACAAACGATATATGAACATATATAATTATGGTTAGTCGCTAAGAATATGTGTTAATACCAGCCATTTGAAGCCCAAAAGGATGAATAAAAGAAGCAATTTCCAAAGGATTTGCTTGTTATGGTATCGTGGACGTAAATCTTCCAAGTCATTTGAAAATGTTAAAATACGGTAAATGGTGAGAAACCAATACTGAATGGCCTGTGAAAGTCTGGAAAACCAGAAAGCACTTGGTGGAAATTTTTCAAGAAAATCCTCAGTGTTATTTTCGCCATATATCGGTATAACATTATCCTGATCGATAGCAGCTCTACATACGGGACAGGTCATGCGATGGGGACGTGTCAGGAACCATTGATTGAGACATGGCCAACAAAATAAATGTCCACATCGTGTCACCACCGTATCCTGAGCGATATCCAGGCAAATGTTGCATTCGTAGTTCATTGCGTTCATTTTCTTAGCTTACATTGGATGCAGATGAAGCTGAAGTTACTGCAAGATGATGTACAAGGAAGCTCTAAAGACGAAACACAATGCTTACCCAAAAACTAGAGTTTTTTTTTCGTTTTCAAACTGGTAATAAAATATATTCCAATCTAGCACAAAGTCGAATGTATATAGAAGTTTGGTGCTTGGCTTTGTTTTATTTTGGTAAAAGAATTTTCAAAGCATACTGCGATGCAGTTTATGTAAATTGAGTCTTTCTATGCCACAACCCTGATAAAATTAATATCAAAACTTGTCTAATAAATAGCTAAATAAAATAATTTCCAAAACAATGAATTACTTTTATGACAATAAAATAGCTATACCAACTATATAACTCTTTTTTGACTGTATCTGGGTTCTATACATTTAGTTAGTTGTTGTGTTGAATAAACTTTTTTCGGGAGCTAAGTATTTTTTAATATAAACAAATAAATGACACCATATCCCCGCACGTCATGATCATCACGGCTCTTAAAGAGAGCGTGGAAGTTTTTTCGGGATCAAAGAGCAATAAACTAGTCAACACGGCCAAGGGTATAGTAATTAATATAAACCATATTTTCATGTATCTTGACTTTTGTGGGCCTTGTTTTGGTTTCAATTATCAAGAGATATTTTATTAACGTCTTACCTTATTTAAGAAAACTTAAATTTTTATTGCTGCCACCTCCACTTAATCAAAGTCTATCAACCACCAAGCACTAGATTAGTAATTTATATAAAAAACACACAAAAAGAAGAAGAAGAAAACTAAGCTTCCTCTAGCTAGGGCCTAGCTTACGTATACGACTTGAGAATCGCAGAGGAGAGCGCTCTAAGTACCAAGTCACCCTCCTATGCGATTCTCATATTTTCAGGTATCTTGACTTTTGTGGGCCTTGTCTTAGTTTCAATTATCAAGAGATTTTTTATTAACGTCTTACCTTATTTAAGAAAACTATAATTTTTATGGCTGCCACATCCACTTAATCAAGGTCTATCAACCACCAAGCACTAGATTAGCAATTTATATAAAAAACACACAAAAGAAGAAGAAGAAAACTAAGCTTCCTCTAGCTAGGGCCTAGCTTACGTATAAGACTTGAGAATCGCAGAGGAGAGCGCTCTAAGTACCAAGTCACCCTCCTATGCGATTCTCATATTTTCAGGTATCTTGACTTTTGTGGGCCTTGTTTTGGTTTCAATTATCAAGAGATTTTTTATTAACGTCTTACCTTATTTAAGAAAACTATAATTTTTATGGCTGCCACATCCACTTAATCAAGGTCTATCAACCACCAAGCACTAGATTAGCAATTTATATAAAAAACATACAAAAAGAAGAAGAAGAAAACTAAACTTCCTCAAGCTAGGGCCTTGCTAACTTGAGAATCGCAGAGGAGAGCGCTGTAGGTACCAAATCGCCCTTCTATGCGATTCTCATACCTTTGAGCTTCTAAAAATGAACAAGAACGCTTTCCGAATTAAAATTAATGCCTTTTTGGCTTGGTTATGAATTTTTTAAATTTTGGTTTGTCGACAAAATTTGCATATAAAAATGTAGTTAATATCGATTAAGAATGGTATTGCATCTTCAGTCAGAGGCCTAAAAGATAGTGAAAGACTCATTTCCGAACCTATAAATCATATATATTCTTGATCAGCATCAACAGGCAAATCTTTCTAGCTATCTTAGACAAAAAAAATATGTTTGAATTTTTTTTCAAATTTTTTTAAGGGGTAAAATCGTAAAAATGGTCAACAAATAATTTGGTCAAAATTGAAATTTTTTAAAATTGTAAATTGATTATGCAGATTTATTAATCTACTAAAAACCAACATGGGACAGCTTTCTGAATTAAAATTAATTAATTTTTGGCTTAGTTAAGAGTTTTTTAAGATTTGATTTTGTCGAAAAAATTGTCATATAGAAGAAATATCAATAAATATCAATTAAAAAAATACGAATATTTTAAGCTTACTTGTGATCGATTTACTATAAGATCCAATAATTCAATAAAAAAAATCAAATGTATACATGTATAAACTTTGGCTTCCCGAAATTAGTTTCCTTGTTTTTATATAAATAAATACTAAATTTCACCTTGAAAAATATATTTTAAATATTTGTATTGCTTTTATTTCTCTCAGTGCCAGGGCCAGTGACTTTCTGACGGGGTCAACTCTCGCTCCAGTTTATCTGAAACACTCATAAGTCGTAGGCCTGGTCGTAAATCTACCTTTGAATTCAAAAATACAGAAAGGGCCATCACTGATGTTGCTGTCTGCCCTTTTGTGCCTGCCCACGGTCTTCGGCCTTCTCGATCTGCCAATCTTCTCTTCTTCATTTTCTATCCACCACAATAATACACACTCGTAAATAATAATAATAATAATAAATAAATAAATAAAGCCGCTGCTGACTAAGTGACATTGTTGCATCGAACGGACAATGAGCCATGGCTAGTTGAAATCGCGCTAAGGTTGAGGCTAAAACTGACTCTGACTCTAAAGTTGAAGCCAAAATTGTGCAATGTTTGCTTAGCCACGCAGCGATTCGTTTTGGTCTTTTGTTGTAGTTTTTTGCTTTTTCTTTGATTTTATTTTTAACAGGGAAATATCGTTGGAATCTACTGGGAGAGCTGGCCAACATTTCAATTGCTGTTTTTTTGTCTTATCGATAAAGCTTACAGATGAGCTGATCGAAGTGGAACTACCCTGGGTATATACATTTATTTTTGTAGCTTTGGGGTTTGGTTTATAAGAAGTTCAGTCTAAGGATCTTAGTTTCTTAAAGAATCTGCCTTTTTGGTTTTTGGGGTAGAGTCTTTAATTTATCTTTTTAATGGGAGATTTAAGAAAAATACTGAAGGAAGTTGTAAAGGAATTATAGAGTAAAGTATATAAGTTTATATATTATTATTATATATTATTATACATATTATTATTATTATATATTACATTTTATATTATTATAAATATATTATTATACATTTTATTATTTTCCTAAGATATCTTTATTATAATAAAGATTAAAAAAAATTTAAATAAATAAAAAATTTTATATATAAATTATTATATTTTAATAAATTTCCATACTAATTATTATATATTTATTTGGAAATATTCTAACTACTTTAATATAAATGAAAACTCTTGCTCTAAACGAGTTATAACCTTGAACATCAAGTGTTCTTTTGAGAGAGTGTCAAATTCATTTCCTTTCACTTTCCCTTTGAGAAAAATTCATTTCAAAAAGTTCAGCTCTTGGCCTGTTTCTTAATTTTCTTAATTTTTTCAACTTTTCCAAAATGTTTGAAAACGTAGAAAAGTATTTAACCAGCGTTCAAGAAGCCACCATTGGCAACAAGAGCCAAGTGGTGGGCTCCTTCGTATCCCTGCGGGATAATCACGTAAAGAACACCAGTCTTTACATTGCCCAGCCGGAAGAGTTTATCAAGAAAGTTGGTTTGATGAAACCATTGGATGAAGTGATCTCCGCTCATCTGAAGGTGATGTATAATTTGACCCTGAAGCCACCCAATTACATAGGGGCATATGTACAACAAGATTTGGCCTGCAAGATGGTGGGCCGACTTGTTGAGGAATTGAAATATGAAGACTGGTGTCTTGCCTTAATGTATCGCCTGTGCCTGGACCTTCGTGTTTTGGCCAAGATGTGTGAGAAGCGTTGCCCTGGTATGAGACCTGGCCAAAAGCGAGCGGAGGCTGCCGATTCGATAATGGGTTGCTTTCGCATCTGTACCAAAGGACCAGAGACCACAAAACATTTGAGTATGATATTTATGGTGAATCAACTCTTTAAGATTTACTTTCGCATCAATAAGAGTGCCTTATGCACGCCCCTCATCAAGGCCATTGAGAATTGCAATGCAAAGGACTCTTTTCCAATGCAAGAGCAAATTACCTACAATTATTTCATGGGCATTCGAGCCATGTTCGATTCTCAATATCCCGAAGCCGTGAAGAAGTTTTCATTTGCATTTATCAAATGCCCAGATCGCTTTACTACGAACAAGCGTTTAATTCTATACTATTTGGTGGTGGTGAAAATGCTTCTGGGTTATCTACCAAGCAAATCAGGTCTCGAGCGTAATAAGCTTATGTTTTTTTATGAATTGACCATGGCTTTAAAGTCCGGAAATGTTGGTAAATTTGATGAGTTTGTTAAGAAAAGGGCATTATTCCTAATACGCAGCGGTATATATTTGGCTGTGCAAAAGCTTAAAAATATCGTATATCGTAGTTTATTCAAGAAAGTGTTTATCATACGCAAAAGCCATGAACTGGAAATGAGTGAATTTCAAGAAGCCTTGAAATTTGTGGGCGTAAAGGATGTGAAATTGGATCAGGTGCATTGCATAGTAGCAAATCTAATATGCGAAGGCAAGATCAATGGCAAGATTACTGGCAATCAAAAACTTGTGATTTCCGAACAGGATCCATTTCCAGCACTTATTAGCAAGTAGGTATTTTTAAAAAGCTTAATTTTAATAATGTTTTAATATTGATAACCACTTTTCAGGTAAGTTTTCTAGACAGACAGACAGAGAGAGAAAGAGATTGTGAGCGACCCTGGGCTTGGGTATAAACAAGACAAGACACAGGGATTACGAATGACGGTTTGTTGGTTTATCTTTTTTTATATTTATTTCTTTCCTTATTTAATTTTGTCTTTTTTTCTGTTCAGTTATCTGCAGCTTTTATCGTTATCTCGACGCCTTTTTGGACAAAGGCATTGAAGCATTACAACACAATCATCAGCAAACAGCGAAAACAACAAAAGCCACGACCAGAGCCACCCTAAAAACCCACTCTTTGTGGTCAACCATTTCACTTTCAACTTCCAACTTCAAAAACCCAAATCCTAAACCCAAATCCAAAGGCCAAGCCCAGGCGAAGACAAGTTAATGCGCCAATTAAATTGCCACTACTCGCAAGCAAACTCTTCTCTTCAATGCAATTGTTTTTATGTAAATTTGTTGCACACACCAAAAAAAGCAGCAACAAGAAATCATAAAATACAAACAAATATAACAACAAAATATAACGTATTCACTCAAAATGAAAGGCAGCAAAAGTTGCGCCAATTTTTTTCTTTCTTTCATCTTCTGTTTTATGACTTTGAACTTGAACTGGAAAAGCGGAGACAAAAGCCCCAACCAAAGAAATTCGAAAGGTCTTGAATCGGATCTATATATATAATATATAGTATATATATAGTAGTTTATAGCATATACATATCGGTTAAGCCCTTTGTGAAAGGCAGCTCTCCCATGATGAGGCAAGGTCGTTGGGAACCCGATTCTCAGGCTGGGAAATATGAGGCAGTGACTGTGATTTAATATTTAAAAAAATATAAAGAAATAGGGGAATACTATGAAAACCAGGTGCAAAACAGGTTTATCCTTAATCCTATAAAAAAGTAATCTAAAAAATATAAAAACAAGTGCAGCAGCAGCTTGTTGTTACAGTGAAATACATTCCAGAACTGACTTTTAAGCTAGTATAAATAAATATTATAATAATAATAATATATAAAACTATTTCCTCTCACAGATACCTCAATTTATAATCAAATTTAACTCTATTCACTACCATTAAAAATAATAAACATTTAGCCATAATAACTACCATAAACTCTACACAAAAACCACTCCATTTTCAACTTCGTCAAGCATTAAATGATATTATGTAAATCAAGTACATACATAGTATCATAAGAAAGATTCAATTGCCATAAAAATTTATATTTCGCATTCAGATTTCATGCATAATGTACAAACAGCTCTTGTTATTTACATTAAAACAAATCAGATAAAAAAAAACACAGACACATATAACATTTGTTTTACAACTGCTGAAAATCGTGTAAAAACACACACAATTTAAATACAATAGAGTAGAGTTTATTGGTAAGAGATAAAAACCAGCGAAAGTAATTGGGAAAAGGAGGAGTAGAGGTGTTTTTTTGGGAGTTAAGAAGCCACCCAACATTTTCCTTTCCTTTCTGTGCTCCCATTGTCACCCTCCAGTTCCGCCGCAAGTCTTGGGTATCTCTGAGATCTGTATCTGTATCTAAAGGCACTTTTGTTTACAGTTGGGGCAATCCCAGGGGCAACCTACACCTTCAGCCACTCCGCCCGACTTGTTTTCCCCCCCGAAGATACGTGCGGTGTCATTGGCGCTGAACTATCCGCTTCTTTTCCCAAAATCCCCCCCAAAGCCACATGGTCTACGATCCACCTTCGAATTTGGCTTTACTCCAAAGACACTGTTCAAAACTAAACTTTATAAGCACTGAGAGAAATAAGTAATGGGAAAAGAGTGAGTACAGTTATAGGAAAATATATAAAAGTAAATAAAAATATATAAAAATTTTAAAATATATAAAAATGATAGAGGAACATGTAATAATATATATAACAAATACATAATTTATTTCAAATTCTAAATAAATATAAAACAAGAAAGGAAACTAACATGAAAAGACCTAGTTTATATACCTTTGCAGTTAGCAATTAAATTATAGAATCGAATAGGTAATCAATCCTAACTAAACTTAAGATATTCGCATTCTTAAAATCGATATTTATCGATATTTTTATTTGCAATTTTTACGACAAAATCAAATCTTAAAAAACCTATAACTAAGCCAAAAATGCATTAATTTTAATTCGGAAAGCTGTTCCATGTTGGTTTTTAGTAGACTAATAAATCTGCATAATCATTTTCTTATTTTATAAAATTTAAATTTTGAGCAAATTTTTGTTGACCATTTTTACGATTTTACCCCTTGAAAAATGTTGAAAAAAATTTCCAAATTTTGTTTCCTGTCTAAGATAGCTAGATCGACTGGGCTGTTGATGCTGATCAAAAATATATATGATTTATAGGGTCGGAAATGACTCCTTCACTGACTAAAATTGATAAAACCATCTGGTAGATTTTTTGGTTTTTTTATATGGTATATTTTACTTAACAAATCAAAGATTAAAAATTGCCTAACTTGGTAAAAATTATTAATTTTAATTCGGAAAGCTGTTCCATGTTAGTTTTTAATAGATTAATAAATCTGTACACTCAATTTAAATTCCAATTTTAACCAAATTTTTGTTGACCATTTTTACGATTTTACCCCTTAAAAAATTGGACAAAATTTTCAAAAATTTTTTTCTTGTCTAAGATAGCTAGATCGATTTGGCTGTTGCTGCTGATCAAGAATATATATGATTTATAGGGTCGCAAATGATTCCTTCACTAAGTTTTAAGCTTCCGACTACAATTAAAATACCCTGCAAGTAATTTTTTTAATTTTTCTATTATTAGTCTAATTTTTCTCAGTGTACAGTTCCCACTGCGATCCGAATCCGAATGCGAATCCAGCTTTTGATGCAACCCGAAGACGAAGTGGTTTGTGGCTGCTGCCGTTGTGGTTGCCATATAAAAACCGCGAGCATCGCCAGCGCCATCCGCAGTAAGAGGCGCGACTTTTGAACGCTGGCATCGCTCCCAAAACTCACTCGTAAAGTATCCCCCACAAAAGATAATCCCTTATAAAAAATATATAGAAAAAAATATATAAAATCTATATAAAATCTATATAAACCCTCCCCGGTTGTGTGCAGTCCCCATACTTTTTTGTTGTGCCAAGAAAATCAAAAAACAAAGATCAGACTGAAACGGAACTAAAGTGCAAGTCAAGTAATAAATAATAATAAATTAAGACACACAAGTTGTGTGAGAACCTGCGGCAACGACCATGAGAGTGGCTTTGATACTGGTAAGTAATGGTAGCTGAGAGCTGGGAAGCTGATAGAGATTACACAATAATCTGGGACCCGGAAATCACTCGGGGATCAGACGCACCCCCATCGAATTGTGTAATTTTTTTTATACTGGATTACTCGCAAAAAAACTAAGAAATAAGCTGGAAAAAAGTTGGGGGAAAATAAAAGGAAACAAGTTGCAAGGCGGCTGACAAATTGATTTGCATTCAGGTGGTGCAGTTGCAGAGCCGGCTTGGTTACCTGAGAAAGTGGCTGCAGTTCACTCAACCTGGATGCAATGAACTCCCTCCCCCTGCCTCCCTCTCTATATATGTGTTTGTATCTAACAGATACAAGATACAATCTTGACCCATTCGGTACGCTTCGCTTTAGCTTTTGACACTGCCCTTGTCCCTGTGTCTCCAATGTCCATGTCCATGTCCGCATCCATCGTGTCCATCAACCATTTCAGCCGAGGGAGCCGCCGTTGGGTCAGTCAGTCGCTTATCGCCCGCTAATTGGACGGGCTTGAGTACCCCTCAACGTGGTCAAGTCCCTCCATGGTGAATGAGTGGCCAACAGGCGATCCGTTTACGCAAATTGCCTACACTGAGAGAGTTAAGGGGGCGGAAAATTACCTCTTAACATGAGTTATTTCTTTAGTTGTGTTCAAAATGAGCATCAGAAATCATTAGAGATTAAGGAAATAGTTTAAAAATGTAGCCAAAAGGCATGCTAATGTGTTAATTGTTTGACCATGGGTGTTTTAGGCTTCATTTTCAAGCTTAACTAATCTATTTTGTTGCTTTAATTTTTAATAAATATTTTATTTAAATTTAGTGAAAAACATAATTTAAAAATACAAGAAAAACATTAAACAAAGCCAAGGAAAATTAATTTTAAAAGAAGCAATTAAGACCAACAATTCTACAAAGTTAAAAAACCCATTTTGTAAAACTTTCTTATTAGTAAATATACATAAATAAGTAAATAAGGGATCATACATAATGAAAAAATTAATACAAATTCATACAAAATAAATAAATAAATAGTAAAAATAAACATATGGTGTTGTCTTAAAGTTTTACTAAAAAAAATACAAAAAGTACTATAGCCTGAATTTTCCCACATATACCAATAATTTAATTTAATTTAAAAGCCTTTGTAATTATTTAACTGCCTTAACAATTAAAGGTAATGTCAACTATATAAAAGGCGTTATTCTTAATGGCATTATAAATAATATAAAAACATAAATAAATAAACAAATGCAAAAACTATATTTTCCCTAAGTACTTTAAAGAAGCCTTGCCATTAATTTGACAATTTAAAATGAAGGAAATTGTTAAAGACAATTTGTATGATACATATTTATAGGATTTTAAATATAATAAAAGGAATAATAATATAATAATAATAATATAATAACAATATATAATAATAATAATATAATAATAATAATAATATAATAATAATAATATATAATAATAAAATATAGTGACAAAATTCTCCATGATAGATTTATATAAATATTAGTGACTTTGGCGACCTTTAATTTCATTTTAATTAACTTTCATTCAAGGCCTAAAATATTTTTAAATATAAAACATATTACTTATAAAATGTCTTAGCTTTTTATACGTTTAAATAAAAGTATTTTAATGATTTTAGGAATTAGATATAGACAAAAAACACCATGAAAGTTTTCTTAAAATACTTACAAAGTGAATATCAAGATATTAAGTATCCAAAAGGTTTCCAGAACTGACCAATTTTATCTTTATGTTATGCTATACTTAACTTTAATTTATTCATGCTTTTTATTATGAATTTCTGTATTTTTATACATAGAAAATTCCCCTGTTTTTCATCGCAGTGCTGGAAAAACTCGAGAGGGGCTAGAAGAACTTGTTTTTTTGTTGTGGTCGCCACTCATGTGGTTACATAAAGTTATTACATTCGCCAAATGCAAAAAAAAAAGAGGAAGAGGGGTTCAACTGGCAGTCAGGATAATCTGTAGTTGTCTAATTTACATTTTATTGTTGTGCTTGGCTTTGATGTTGCTGCTGCTGCTGCTGCTGCAGATGATGCAACATTGAAAGCAAAACGAGGGAAACAATAACCAAAAAATAAAAGAAAATAAAACAGAAAACAAAACAAAACGCAACGCAAACCGAGTCCAACTAATTTGCACGCGTTGCGTGACGATCGTTAGCCGTGATTTCCTCCCCGAGATTTTTCCGAGAAAGTATCACCCACTAAAAAACACAGCAAATTCTTTCGCAAAAATAAAAAAAAAGAGAAAGGCGAACCCGTTGCAATTAAATTAAGTTATTACAGAAAATAGTTAGAGCCGCAAAAGATAAATCAATGCGAATAAGACAGATCCAACGAGTTTGCTGCTGCTGCTGGACGAGAGGCTTATATAAAGCCAAGAGCGGCTTTTCAACTCTTCTGTGCTCCCACAGCAAATGTTAACATTTGACAAAAATAACAACAAAAAAGCACTAAAAAAATTCACTGAAATGTAAGCCTTTTGTTGGTTGTTGCCGAAAAAATAGTCTTCCTGCTTTAACGGCCAAAATAACAACTGCTACATAAGCAACCCAACGGCAGCGGCTATTAAAATGACTCGACTTGACTTGACACACTGTCCCAGTTTCGGTTAACACACACTTAAACACACACACACACACTCGTCGGGATAATTGAGTGACAAAATGCAATTAAAAAGCAACTATATCCCAGCCCAGATAGGCGAATTTATTGCTGGCCAACTGGTAAACATGGCTCGAATGGCAATAGTTGGTAGAGGCGTGGAATGCTTTCGATTGCATCAATTAATGCAAATTACTTTTGCAATAATTAAAATGCTCTCGCAATCTTTTGCCAAAGCAGATGATTTTGATAATAAAAACAAAACGAAAAACAAGAAAAGTAAACCTTAATTATAAATCCAACAGTTGTTTAGATTTTAATGGTAAATAATGATGATAAATGTCAAAGTTTGGTTAGCAAATTGAGATTTAGAAGCTTGGCCTATATTTATTTATTTTCTTATCCTTTGACTTAAATATATATTAATTAATTTAATTACTAATTTTATATATATATTTTTTTTTTTATAATTATGTATTTATTTGTTGATTTATTTACTTATTGAAGTATTCATTTAATTGCTTACTCTTGAAATTAGTCTTTTTATTTATAAATTTATTGCTTTTTTTATATATTATAATTTATTTATTTATTCAGTTAGTTATTTATTTAATTTCTTATCCTTTCATTTAAATAAAAATAAATCATTTATTTACTAAATTTTATATGTATTTATCTATTTCTATAATTTTGTATTTGTTTATTGATTTATTTACTTATTTACTTATTCAAGTATTTATTTAATAAGCCTACTATTCAAATTAATTGATTTATTTGTAGATGTATTGTTTAGTTATTTAATAATTTATTTATTCAGTTAGTGACGTATATGTGAATTTATTATTGGTTTATTTATTAATTTAACGAATAAATACATTTATTTCTTTTATTAAATTATTTAGTTATACATTTTCTTATTAATTTACTTATTTCAGTACTGATTAAATTCGGAACTTTATTATATATATATATGTCAACAAATTAATAATTGATTTCTTATTTGTTTATGTACTTTTTTATAAGGTTTTTATTTATTTAAAAATTTATATTTTATTTTATATATTTTATTTATTTATGTATTTTATTTATTTAATTATTTTATTATTTTATATATTCTATTTATGTATTCAATTATTTATTTCCATAATTTTAATTTACTATATTATTTCTTTATTTCTTTATTTATTAAATTTTATTTTAAACAACAAAAATATCTTTTCAATTACTTTTTAAATTTTGTATATATTTATATTAATTATTTTATATTAATATTAGTATTTTAATTAACTACCAACATCAAATCATTATCGCCCAGTTAATTGTCACCAATTTGACGCATTATTTGCTTGTCTGTCACCGACGAAAGACTCATGACACGAACTCCAAAACGAGCGATGCAAACGAAAGACTTAAGACACGAACTCGACCGCAGCAAGATTCAATTACAACACAAAACACAAAATGGAGAAGATGAAGAAGCTGAAGAAGAAACATAAACAGATGGCGAGCAGTTTTTTGCTTGATGAAATGTCAAATGTGAAACCCCTTCTTCGTGTGTTCGAATATCGATTGGTTTACGATCGATATTGAGAGCGAAATTGAGACCAAACGATGATGGCCCACAGACAGTCTTTTGTGTGTGCAGTTTGTCATTTGTTATTTGTAGTTGTTTTTGTTTTTTGTCTTGTGTCTTCGCCACTCACCTTGAACAAAAGGCCCGAACAAAGATCCGGCCAAAACAAAAGCCTCCGATTTTGCACAATCCAAGTTATAATACAACAAGAAAAATAAATAAAAGAGCTTTGGTAAATTGCAGCTATGAACTTGATGGTCCAAACGTAGGCAAATTGAGTTCACAGAGTTCAGAACTTGTTGCTTTAATTGCTAGCGGGTTTTTGTTTTTGTTGTTGTAATTAGTATTGCAAAATTGCAATTATAAAACAATAAATAACACATACAGAATGCGTTTTGCCAGCACCAACTTCTGTTGCCAAACATATTTCTCGCAATTTTTGAAAAGAAACATTTGTTGCAAAGCCCAAGATGCTTCTAGGAATATTTGATAATTGTTGCAAGCGAAATATCGATATATATATATATATCGTTCATGCACCAGTGTGACCAAAGAAATTTAAGAAATGGCACGAAAAAGGTCACACAGACGGCTGTTTTTTGTAAACAGACCTTATAAAGAAAAATTCAAATGAATTTAAACAAATACGATGTAGAATTCCTGGCAAAGCTCTTTAGCTCTGTGAAAATTTCCCTGGCAGTTGTCCAAATGCCACCCTGATGCCCCCTTTTTCCTGCTCCACGGACTGTACAAATTAGTTTTCTTTGCTCCGGAGGAGAAACTATGAACAAAACTCACAGATCCAGAAGGCGCGGCACACTCGCTCCCAAGTGCCTTCGGGAGACGGATGAAATCGGTCTCTTCTATCTGCTAAACATTCCCAATAATACAGGGCAAAGAGGAGCCGAGTTCTGAGCAGGAGGAAGTGGATTAGGACAATTAGATTAGACAGACGGAAAACTTTGGTGGCACTGGAACAAGTAGAAATAATTAATAAAGGTTCCCTAAAACTGCTGCAAGTCTAAAATCTGAAAGTGGTTTTCCCCGGGCATCTTTTTAAGTAAATATTAAACATAAATAATGTTTATTTCTTGGAAAAAACTCAGCTAAAAGTCTTTAAGCTTATTTGGGAGTATTTTAAGTATTTCAACAGAAAGAATTTGAAGTAAATTATTTTGAATGTAAAATGTTGTGTTGTAAAAAGGCAGAAATTGACTAAGGAAAACATTTTTCGGACAACGATTTAAGGCAAAATCTCAAAATTTCGCTGAACAGAACAACCTTTGTTCCAATTGAAGCAACGGGAAATACTTGGTCCCGATTTTATATTTTAAGATGTGCATTAAAAATGCTAACTTACTTCATGCACTTCTTATTTAAGAACAAATTATTATTATAGAATATATTTATAAATTTACGGGCCCTGAGTGTGAGTGGAAACCCATGCTTTCCGCAGAATTTGAATTTGAATTGAGAGCGATAAAATTGCCAAGTGTATATGATTACAAGAAATCGCCAGGATGCAGAGCTACATTGAGGCACTTGAATAAGTTATCCATAAAACAAAATTAGTGTCTAAATCTGCCCCAATGATTGAAAACCCAGACGTTGCAAGACTTATTTAGAATAAAAATATCATTATTATTATTATGAAACAATAAGAAAAATGTACACATAAGTCGGTTAAATTGCCAAGTGTATATGATTACAAGATTTCGCCAGGATACAGAAAGGTAGAAGAAATTATCAATGTATGAAAAAAATTTTGAAATGCAAATAATTAATTAAGTATTTCGATCCACTTATGTAGTGCCTCGTGATACGACAACACCGTAAAAATGACAAAAAGTCCCGGGAACTACCTGGTGCTTATATTTATAGCAAAATGTGGCATGCATGTATTTGTTACCACTGAAACAAATTGTGGATTGTCAAGAAAGAACCTAATGACACTCCACCGGCATGAAATAAATCTTAAGCCCTAGGAAGATTCAAAAATTATACGTATGCTACAAGGGGATTTGCAGTACTGTGGTACTTATTATCAAAATTCTATGGAGAGCAAGAAATATGTAGATTAACCACCCCTTATAAATAAAACAAAAATTCAATAATTAATATACTGTCCCAATGGGTGTGCATTAGAAAAATTTTAAGCCGTTAAAGGGGCCGGGGATAACCGGGGAACCATTTGAAAAATATTAAATTATTTTAAAAATCTTTTACAAGTTACAAGACATTTGTGGAAGAATCATCATCATCATCACCAATAAATAAAAAATAATTGTGAAATCGGCAGTGCACCATCTGATTTTTTGGGTTTAAGGAGCATCAATCAATGCAAATTGCTTGTGAACTCGATGTTAAGGCTATTTAAGGGCATTTGCCATATTAGTATTTAGTTTCATTTTTATTTTCTTTAAATACTTGAAGAAAATAGTAACTAATTTAATTGAGGCTCAGCAACAGGCTGATGCAATGCAAATTGCTTGTGAACTAGATGTAAAGGTCACTTAAGGGCAATAGCCAGGGCTCGGAAAAAACATAAAAAATTATTTATTGAAGTTTTTATTTTATTAAGAAATAGAAAAAATATTCGCAAGCATATATTTTATATATTTAATTAATTATTTTCTCTCCCAGTCCATCGGATATTTTTTTAGGAGATGTTAAACTTGGAAAAACACACAGAGTATCCTTGGTTTTTGTTTTATAAAAAACATATTCTTCAATTTTGTTTTTGTTCCTCGTGATACGTAAACACCGCCCCGGGACACAACGGCAAAGTGGCTATATTTGAACGTGGAATATATGGCATACATATATATTTGTCACCACCTTCATCAGATTATTGCTGTGCCCGAGGATCACTCCAAAGGGCCCCAGGAATTATTCAAAAAATTCTTCAATGGCTCATGTGCAACCAAAACTGTTTAGATCAAAATTATATCTTATGTGGTATTATCAAAAAAAAATAATTTAAAAAAACCAGGAGAAGGTCCAACCTCCGCGACGAATGGAGGAGGACTGATTTAACTGCTGCTTAACGAAAGCAGGTAAACTCGGTTGCTATAGTGATAGCATAGTTATCGATTGTAACTATCGATATGGTATCCGATTAAAGCTATCGCATAAACATCGCAACTGGCGTCTATAACGAAATATTTTTCTGTATATATTTATTAATATAAAATAATACCAAAAGCTGACGAAGTACGGACTGGTACTTACTTCAGATTTTGATCATTAGCGTTGTTACGCTAAATGTTGCAATCAAAATTGCTACATATTTCGTTCGAAAACCAGTGTGACCGTACAAAGTAAAGAAAAGGTGCAAAAACGGTCACAGTGACACGTATGTCTAGCTTTTTTTTTTTAAACAAGCCTTAAACTTTAGTTTTTTCATCAATATTTAAAAATTAATTAAAGCGTAATCGTATTAATAATTGTCTTCCTGGTAAACAGAGCTTAGCAATATTGAAACTATGCATTTACCCTTCCTAGATTTAATTTTTATACATAATTTAGAGAATAATATTTACTATTTAATATTTTCAGGGCACCCTGAGTGCTCTACTGTGCTTTGCCAGCGGCTTAAGCCCACCGGAGTCTAATGGCGGCAAGGGCACTGGCTTTCCCAAGAAGGTGACCACGCTGAAAAAGCGACCCACCAAGACACCTCTCTCCACGAGCAGCATAAGCAGCAGTAGTAGCTCCACCTCCAGCCATGTGGCCACCACAAAACCCAGCAAGCCTCGAGTAAAAATCGTCAAGTCTTCAGGCATTAGGAGCAGCAAAAAGTCTCCTAATCCTGTTCCAGCTCCTGTTCCAGCCTTGACCGAGTCCTTTGGCAATCTGCCCGCCGATGATCTGGAGTTTATCAAGGAACTGGACAAGCAATTCAAGCTCCATGGCGACAAGATCAAGATCAAGGTGGAGCGTGACAACTCCACCAGCAGCAGCAGCAGCAGCGGTGGCAAGAACAGCAAACGAACCATCGAGGGAGACTTGGGGTGAGTGGGGAAAATGGTGGGAAATATACGGAAGATAATATATATTATTATGCTAACCCCTTACAGATATGGCTACTCGCATCCTGGCTATGACTATACGCCGCCCAAGTTCATGTTCTATCCATACTCCCAGCACGATATACCCTCGGGCTTTGCCCATCCCCAGCCGCTGCCCGAGGAGCAGGAGCAGGAGCCAGAGCCACAACATCAACCGGAGGAGCAGCATCAACATCATCATCAACAGCAGCACAACCAGGAGCACGAGGTGACCAGCGTGACCATAGAGCCCTCGTATTCCTACGAGTTGAAACCACAAACCAGCTATGAGACGCACACGGCTCCAGAGCAGCCGCAAATAGATTTGCCCCAAGATGAGCCGGAGGGACATGGACAAGGACACCATCAGACATCGGGTGGTGGCTATCAAGAGCCAGTGATTGTCTTGAGGATACCGGGACCAGCCAAATACGCTGCCCATTTGCAGACCCTACTCCAACAGTATCTGGAAATTCGGGCAGCCCAGTATTTGAGCCTGCTCCAGGAGGCAGAGCAACAGCAACAGCAGCAGCATCAACATCAGCAACATGTGGTGGAACCGCAGCAATATGGACAGCCGGAGCCAGCTAGTTATCATCAGGATGTAAGCTATGCCCACCAGCTGGCCCCAACTCCAGCTCCCGTGCAATATGCACCCATTGATGATGTCTACCAGAGCTACAAGGGGCGACACCATCATCACCAGCAGCAGCAGCAGCAACTTCAGCTGCATCTCCACCAGCAACAGCAGCAGCAGCAACACTATGAACCGCAGCAGCAATACTATGCCCCCATGGAGTACCAGCAACCCACACAGTTCTACTATGCCCAGCCCCAGTCTCATCTGCATCAGCAGCCGCAGCTCTACCTGATAGCCATGACCCAGCCGGAACCGGAACAGCAGCAGCCGCATCCGCATCAATTGCATCAGCAACAACAGCAACCGATCTATGTCCCCGAAGCGGAGGCTCCATCGGCACCCGAACAGGAACCCGAACCGGAGCACAATCTACCCATTACAGAGAACAATCCCAGGCCCACACACACCAAGGTCATCTTCAATCCCTATCCCTACCATCAGCAGCAACAGCAGCAGCAGCAGCCACATCAGCTCCATCATCAGCATATCCCAGAGCAGGAACAGGAGCAGCATGAAGCTGGAGCCGAGCTGGAGCCACCGCCGCCACCGGAAGGAGAGCGTCCCTTTAACTACCATGCCCACTCCCACAGTCATGGTCTGAAGATGCGTCAGGGCAAGAGAGCAGCCAAGGCAGAGCCGGCTCCAGCTCCAGCGCCTGCGGCGGCACCTGCACCTGCAGCATCGGGGGATGCAATGCATCCTGGCGACAAGAGGCTGCAGCAGATTAGGGAGTATGTGAGGGAGAAGTTGGGTGCCGAGATGGGTTCCGCTGTGGAGTACAAGACGACGCAGCTGCTGGAGGGTTAAGAACCCTTGATGGAGATTGGGAATGGTGACTTACTAGGAGGAGATTCACGGATTGAAGGGATGGCTACTTAGTGTTTGGCAAACAGAAGAGATATAGATGTGACTTTTCAAGACAACAAAAATTTACAAAAATACTCAATTAACTTCTTAATGCCTTTTAAGGCAATTTGAAATATGTGCTTTTGTTCATAAAAGTAACTAATGCTTGCCACAGATTTAAAATTATGTTATTGCTTTCTTTAAGCTGCATTTTAAGATTTCGTAAAACTATAAAAGTTGCTATTTAATTTTATATAATCAATATCTATAGTTTTTCAAAGTTTAAAAAAACAAAGTTTGATTTACAGATGCTTGCCTTGAAATTAATTAATGCAAACACTTTTTTATAAGATTTCCAATCAAAAGATTTGGAAAACATATATATTTTATTCCATTTCTTTAATATGAATTTTAAACGAAAAATACCGAAAAACTTCTGCTTGCTTTTCAAAATAATTAATTCCATATTTTAAGACACCTTCCAAGGCGATTTTAAATCTCAAAATGTATTTAAAAATTCCCATCTCATCTAAAGATAAAACAAAGAAAATCCTATCCCTGAGGTCAGTGTTTTCCCAGTGAGTGCCATTTCCGGACTTATTCTTATTGTTAACACAATTGTGGTTGCTTCTTGTGCCTGAAACCCGTCCATTAGTATTTATTCCCTGGCTGGGGGAGGTAATTTATGGTAATTGCCACTCCTCCGCCAGCTTCAACTCATTCAAAAGCCTGTCCATGAGCCTTTCAACCGAGGCATACTTTTGGGGGGAAAATCATCGGGGGAAAACCCGAGAGTGTGCCACAATTTTAGGCATAGTTTTCGCATTTTTTGTCGCTCGGACAGGGTTTCAATCGCCTTTCATTATTTCGTACGACATTTAGACTTTTTTTTGTGTTATTTTTTATTATTGTTTGACCATGACAATGTGCTGCTGATCCAATGTGTGCAATATTTAGTCCGTAATTAAAACTGTGCTTCACGAACTTACTCATATATCTGTATTTTTATGCAATTAAATGAAATGAAACAAAAAAAAAAATAAACACAACACTAATATTAAAATCAAAATGTGCATTTCTTTATTGGGCAACTCACGGAAGTCACGCATAAAACCCACAAAAAAAAAAAACAAAAGATATGGCTGAATATCGTAAGAGAAATATTTTTTAACTACGGAAAAGGCTTAAATTGATGATTGACACGGCACATTTTAACATTTACATTAATTTTTTGAAATAAACACAAGTTCTTTAATTAACTACCAACATCAAATCATTATCGCCTAGTAAATTGTACCCAAATTTGACGCATTATTTGCTTATCTCTCACCCATAAAATACAGGAACTCCAAAACGAGCGATGCAAAGGAAAGACTTATGACACGAACTCGACTGCAGCAAATTTCAATTAAAACACAAATTGTTAAACCCAATTTTTTGATGAATTTTTGATAATTGTTGCAAATATCGATATATATCGTTCAGGACTCAGTGTGACCAGAGAAATTTAAGAACACGGACGAAAAAGGTCACACAGACGGCCGTTTTTTTGTATACAGACTTTATAAGTAACAATTTAAATGAAATTCGAACGAATAAGATGTATTATTGTTATTGATTTATTACGTCGCTATGGAATTTATTAATAACATTAACCGATTGTTTTTTAAATTAAAAGATGAATTAAATCTCATATTCCAGACCTATTTATTATTATCGTGAATATGTTTGTTTATTCTAGTTTTTAATAAATTGATAATTTTTATAAGCAAATTGTTGGTAAAAACAAAGTTTTTCAAATCTTCTAATAAATAAAAAAATCCTTCATTTCAATTCGAAAATCTATTCTGTGCAAGTTATTATAGGGCCTAAAAATCTGTATACTAAGTTTTAAAATTTAGAAACCTACATCTTTTATCAAATTTTGACAGTTTTAACGAAGTAATAACTTTAAAAAAATATTAGAAAATTTATTTTTATACAGGACATGACTAGATCGACTCGGCTGTTGATGCTGATCAATATTATATATGGTTTATAGAGTCGGAAATGACTACTTCACCACGTTTTGTCAAAAAAAAACTTTTTTGAGTTGTTGAGAGATTAATATTTAAGAAATACATCCATTTCAGATTGATCTTTCGAAGGTGTTAAATAAATAATCAATATCTTGGATATTTTAAATTAATAAATCAATCAGTGCTTAGCCTTTGCCATTACAATTTCTCAGAGTTCCTGACACCCAGCAGGGGCTCGGGGCTCCTCCGGCAGATCATTGCCGGGCCATAAATCACAATTCCTGCTCTTTGGCTTTGTGAAAATTTCCCTGGTAGTCGTATGAAAGCCAAATGCCACCCTGATTACCCCCTTTTCCTGCTCCAAGGACTGTAAAAATTAGTTTTCTTTGCTCCGGAGGAGAAGCTATGAACAAAACTCACAGATCCAGAAGGCGCGGCACACTCGCTCCCAAGTGCCTCCGGAACACGGAGGAAATCGGTCTCTTCTATCTGCTAAACGTTCCCAATAATACAGGGCAAAGAGGTGCCCAGTTCTGAGCAGGAGGAAGTGCATTTGAACTATTAGATTAGACAGACGGAAAACTTTGGAACAAGTAGAAAAAATAATAAAGGTTTCCTAAAACTGATGCAAGTCTTAAATCTGAAAGTGGTTTTCCCCGGGCATCTTTTTAAGTAAATATTAAACATGAATAATGTTTATTTCTTGGAAAAAAACTCAGCTAAAATTCTTTAAGCTTATTTGGGAGTATTTTAAGTATTTCAACAGAAAAAATTTGAAGTAAATTATTTTGAATGTAAAATGTTGTGTTGTAAAAAACCAGAAATTGACAAAGGAAAACATTTTTCGGACAACGATTTAAGGAAAAGTCTCAAAATTTCGCTGAACAGAACAACCTTTGTCCCAATTGAAGCAACGGGAAATACTTGGTCCCGATTTTATATTTTAAGATGTGCATTAAAAAGGCTTACTTACTTCATGCACTTCTTATTTTAGAAAAAAAAAAGTGTATTATAGAATATATTTAATAATTTACGGGCTCTGAGTGTGAGTGGAAGCCCATGCTTTCCGCAGCATTTTAATTTTAATTGAGAGCGATAAAATTGCCTAGTGTATATGATTACAAGATTTCGCCAGGATACATAAAGGTAGAAGAAATTATCAATGTAGGAACAAATTTTTGAAATGCAAATATATTATTAAGTATTTCGATCCACTTATGTAGTGCCTCGTGATACGCCAACACCGTAAAAACCTAATGACATTCCACCGGTATGAAATAAATCTTAAGCCCTAGGGAGATTCAAAATATTTACGGATGCTGCAAGGGGATTCGCAGTACTCTGATACATATTATCAAAATTCTATGGAGAGCAAGAAATATGTAGATTAACCACCCCTTATAAATAAATACAAATATTCAATTCTGTCCCAATGGGTGTGCATTAGAAAAATTTGAAGCCGTTAAAGGGGCCGGGGATAATCCCGGGCCCGGGAACCATTTGAAAAATATATAATTTAAAAATCTTTCACAAGTCTAAGGAGTTACAAGACATATGTGGAAGAATCACCACTAGGAAATAAAAAAATAATTGTGCGATTGTTCACTTTTTACTAAGGAAAATGTCAAAAAAGATCGCGGTTCCCGAGAAATTTGAAACCTATTGGAGCCTTAATTTGTGGAAAAAATGCTGCATACATATATATTTGTTAGCACTTCAACATATTTAGGATTTCCAAGCTTAATGACAATCTATCGGCACCTGATTAGTCCTGGGCCCTAGGATCACAAAAGGGCCCAGGCACCATTTAAAATGTTTTCCAATGAGAAAATTCTGGTTAAAAACTAACCAATGGAGGAACCTTGGTGGTCTAGCAACAACAGGCGCAAAACTTCGCAGATTATTTGTGAATTAGAAGTGAAGGCCACTTAAGGACCTTGCCAAACATGGGAAAATTAATTTAGTATTCAAAGTCATTGTCTTTAAATACTTGAAGTATGAAGGGGCTTCTTTTGGGTTTAAGGAGCACCAAGCAATGCAAATTGCATGCGAGCTAGAGTTAAGGCCACTTAAGGACAATGGCCAAGGTGCGAAAGAAAAATTAAAAACTTATTTGACAAAGATTATATTTTAGTAAGAAATAGATGGAAATATTCGCAAGAATACTTTTTATATATTTATTTAGAAGAATATATTCTCTTCCAGTCCATCGAATATGTTTTCCGGAGGTGTTTTACTTGGAAAAGCACAAAAAGTATCCTTAGTTTTTGTTTTATACAATATAATACTGTATAATAATCAATCTTATTAACATTTACTTTTGTAAAAAAGTAGCACTATTTTGGAAGAATGTTGACTGATCATAAAAAAATGTATTATTACATAAATGGCAAATAATTTAAAGCTTTCCATTCCTTTTGTCCGTTTATAATTTTCTCTGCAACTCATTCCTTGAAATTTGTGTTAAAGGAAATACGTCAGACATTAATGGGTTAATTTGCATTAATTTATTCAATTGGATGCTCTGCCGCTGAAGGGGAAAACTTCTTGGTGTCTCTGGACTTTTCCCCTTTACACAATTTAATTCGATTTGCCATTGCATTGCAATTAAATTCATGTCCAGACCTGGCAACTCGGAAAGTCCTTCGTCCATTTCGACCCCAAAATGCATAATTGCATTTTAAGCATCACAGACAAACACTCTTGGTTACGAATATCACGGCTGCCATTGTTTTAATAAAATAAATTTTAAAAAAATTTGAAATCATCCAAAAATCTCTCAACAAATATTTTGACAACATATATAAGGCCTTGAAATCACTGAAATGGATGGAATGATGGCTAATTTATATTATTATTATATTATTAATTCGGAAAATTATTTAGATTATTCAAGCAACTTTTTTATATTAAAAACAAAATCCTTCGCCATATTAAAAAAGTATTTTCCTATTTTGTTTTTGTGTCTCGTGTTACGTCAAAACCGCCACATGAGGCTGTTATTTCCTTAATATAGGATCAATATATCCTCGCAATATATAATTTTTTGAAATCACTTAAATCGAATGATTACGGTTTAAGTTATCAATTCCGAAGATGGGTTATTAGGAGTATTTTCCAATTTTGTTTTTGTGTCTCGTGTTACGT